GGGAAATTAATTGGGGAAGGTGAGGCAGAATACATAGGCAGCATGACCTTAAAGGAAAGCCAAGATTATCATTCCTGAACTTCAACTTTGTATGTTTTGTTTACAAAATGTTGAATCGCTCTTTCTTTCTGTATTAAGACTTTCATATTCTTTCATACATGATTTTCTATCAAACTTGTTTAATTATCTTTTAGTAGCCAAAACTGTTAAGATTAAATGGTGTTTATATGAAATTCATTATTGTTATCATGCTATGATTACCTGACATGGCAGCAGCCTCTGACCTCTGGAAGTCTTATAATTATTGCTAGGTGCACATAAGTTCTGTATCTCAGTGAAGACATTTACAAAGGTTTGTTAGTGAGAGCCCATCTAAAATATTAGTAGAAAGTCATTTATCAGCTTTAGAAAATAAATAAATAAATAATTCTTTTGCATGCAAAGTGGCTGCAATATATTTTTTCTTCAAAATTTTAGAATCATGAAGGTTAAAAGTGATTCACATAAGTTTGTTACCATTTCCTTTTTTTCTTCTTTAAATACATTTACACATGAACTTGTTATCATTCCACTTATTCTATGTATGTATTTTATATGTTTTCATATAGGGTTTGTTTGATTTGCATTTGTGAAATAAAGGTAAAAGTGAATATTCAAAATGAAGGAATAAAAGTTGTTTATAGTGTAGAGATTTTCAGTTTCACACCATATAGGCTTATAGTGACACTTTACATTTTTATATATGACTTTTCAGTGCGTTTACAATATGAGAAATGCATCGTACATGTAGCTAGATGAAAGGCATGGAGGGAAAGAAAGGGAAATATATGTGCAGCACTAGCACTTTCATGAATATTACAACGTTTGTGCCATTAATAAAAATCTCATGAGTTATTAGTGTACTAATGGCATTGCTATTGTTTATATCGACATGGTTACCATGAAAATGCACTTAGCATTTGATGTTTATCCAGAATATTAGCTCAAAAAAGTATGAATGGGTGACTGTGATGGATTCAGTGACTTTGTATTCATTTCAGTATTTCCATGATGGTTTTAGAAAGGAGATTTGAAATGAGATCAGCTTATAAGAAATTATAAGAGTTTTAAATTGGTAACAATAATTGCGTAATGTTGATATGGAGACTGTTGCAGCAGACTAGGCTACTTACATCCTGTTTGAGATGTAAACATCTGAACCTACGAGGGGGTAACACAATCCTATTTTCAGCTCGCCCGTGGTTCAAGACCCCCCCCCCCCCCCCCCCCCCGATTGATGCAAGGGCAGTTTCGTGGCAGACCTGTTGTGAAGGCGCATCCTTGTTTTTTTGCTTGGCTGCAGCGAACAACAAGTGCCCTTTTTCAATGCGCTCTGGCATTTTGAAGAATGCTAGACCTAGTTTTTACCTTTATTTCTATCCCCCATGCTGCCGCCCTGCATTCATTGGAAAAGTACAGTAGGTCAGAGAATTTAAAGGTATCGGTATCGGTTATCGTGACATGAATATTCTTTAAAAAGGTGCATCTTGCTGCAGGGTCAGTTACACATGAAAACCTTTGCGTACCTGCCCACTACATTTTTCCATTGGTAACAGTGACAAGAAATTGCATAAGAATTCAGAATTCATAGCAAATTTTCATGTGAAATAATGTGAATTCAAATATTTCATCATTCTGCAATTAGATTGTAAAACGACTGTCCATTGCCTATGCCACCGTGTATAATTCAATCAGTAGCTTCTACCTTTCCTTTTAACTGGTAGGGCCCCTTTTAGAAAAGCCCCATGAAAAGAGACACAAGGCTCCCTCTAACATATTTTAGCTTCACGTACACTCCGTAAACAGACGAGAGAGAATGTCTGCAACATCCCCTAGAGGTTCTCACCATAAATTCTATCATGTTGATCAGATGAAAAGTTTGTATGTCTCAAACAGGTGCAAGGTTGGGATGCTTGGAGGCAGAAAATTGATCAGAGAGGAAAATTAATGTTACCTGTAGATCCTCCATCTGCACAAGGTGCTACATCAGTCTTTAAAGGTATAGACCAGTTCTGGTCATGCGATTGCATTGTGATAGAAACGTTTTGGAATCAATCAGAAAAGGTTGATCATCAAGCATATATAAGTATTGATGTGTACTGCAAGATTCTGGAATCATCAAAATGATAAAGAAATTTGGCCAAGTCTTGGTAAAGTTTCAAGCACTGTACACAGAAAGATGTACATGGGACTACCCTATATCTATTCAGTCCGGATAGATATAATAATTTACCAAATATATCAAATAGTAGGCAGTTTCCCGGCAAAATTTGTATCATCACGTATAAGTCAAAACATATTATTTCACATGATTGGTAATAAGAGCTTACATTTCATTTTTTTGAGAGGGGGGCGTTTCCAAAACTGGTCTTGACCTTTAAAGCATTTGCCGAGCCTTGATTCTGGTACAGGGCCCCAGTATAAGCTAGATCACTTGGTATCTGGTCCTATAACACTTTCACTCTTTTAAACAAATCATTGAAATAGTCCCAAATGTGATTATACCCTTTTACAAACATTATTATAGTATTGAAAGTTATTCAAATTTGATGTATCAAAAAATAAAAGCCACAAAACAAATTAAGTATATTTGCGTACTTTTACTGTCATATTTTAAAGTTGATTTAGAGATGGTTGCAGTGAAATATATAAACAGGGGAGCAGTGAGCAATTTACACTGAGAAGGATCTATATAGAGCTCCTGAAAATTAAAGAAGATCGGTAGGGAAGAACATGATTGCAAGGAAATCTCACATCTACTACGGTAAATGCTAAAAGAGCTCCTGGAATATTCACAAAAATAGTATACTGGGTGGTCAATAGATGATCGAAACCAAGAAACTCATTTGAAGAAATGTAACTATTTTTTTTATTTTGTCAAGTTTTCCATTATTCAAGTATATGAGACAAATGAATCAGTAATTTTAGAAGTGGATGGAGGAAGTGTGGGAAATGATATCAAATGTATGAGGCAATCTTTCTCCAGAGACGTTATCAAATCAGGTAGCCTCTCAAATGCCATATGGTATGGGTGATGTGTATGTAGAGAGTGCGAAACGCATTTCTATCCAAGAAATAAAATTCAATTTGTTTTTATTGAAATGTAGACAACTTTATTATTTGTGATTTTGGAAGAGAACGTGAGATTGAATGATGGAAAGGCAGAAAGAGGTATATGACTTTGTTTGTTTGATTTTGTTTGTCAATTCCACTTTCATTTTTGCTGTTTGTAGAATGTGGAGGAGCTTTGAAATCATTTTTATTAGAGAAAGATTTTGAGGTTTAAGAGAGTCCATTTAAAGAGAGGGAGAGGAAGAGGGAAAGAGAGAAAGAGAGAGGAAGAGAGAGAGAGAGAGAGAGAGAGAGAGAGAGAGAAAGAGATTCAGTTATTTTTTTTTTCTTGTCTGTTTACATGAAGCATATTTGTCAAGACAGAGACAAGAGAGATAGAGGATTTGATGCTATCCGTGGGTGTCTGTAAGTGGGCGCAGTTTTGATCATTCACAACACATACGTGGATCATATTTATCTGATGTACCGGGTTGTCTGGAGAGGGGGTATGGAACCATTATATCATTTAGAGCACTTTCGTGACCAGAGTGCATATTGTGCCAGAATTGTAAACATTCAGCATGCTGAAGTGCTGAAGAAGTAGTCTGTGTCAAAAATTGAATCTGTTTTTGAAAGGTGTTGTTTTGTGATTCTTACCGATTGGTAAACTACATCACAATCTCAGAAAATGTTGACAACAAGTCGAAGAGTATAATGTCTGTTTAAAGCAAGAAGGATATTAACGCTGTGCTAGACAAAATGGCTTAATGCCCTTCTGGCTCTGAATAGATAGAAACATGTTAATATCTACCTCTGATATAAACAAGTTAGTCATCTTTTTTGGGGGTGATTTTGTTTTAATAATGAAAAGTGATCTTGGTGAGGCATATTCATGAACTAAAAAAACCACCTTGTGCTTTATACAGTTTAAATGTCCAGAATCTGATAGTTGTGTTGGACCTTTCAAAGAGGAAATGTTGCGTTTATTTCCTTCTTCAAAATTTGTAATAGGCCGTAAATTTTAAAGATTTAATCAAGAAAACACAGTTTTTATCCTGATGAATGTTTCTTAAAGAATAAAAGTATGATTTAAAATTGTCTCTTGAGATCTTGTTTAAAGAGGTTAGAGGGGCTGGGGTATGGAACCATTTTATCATCTGAAAACACTTTCATGACCAGAGTACATGGTGCGCCAAAACTGAATAGCACTAGGCTGTGGAAATAGTTGTCTGAAATTGAATCTATTTGTAAATGTTGTTGTTTTGTGGATCTTATTGATTTGTAAACTTTGTTAGGAAGGAAAGAAATGTTTTGGATTGTTTATTAGAATTCAGAGAATGTAAGCTTACACTGGGTAGGTTACCATCTACCTCAGATAACAGGTAATGTCTTATTGAGAGCCTGAAGGGCATATATCACTTTGCATATAGTAAATGCCCTTCTAGCTCTGAGCAGATGATATGTTGAAATGCCTTTTGGTTGATTTCTTTGAATGAAATCTGCATTTATATTTATTAATTTTATTTCACTGTACTTCTCTTATTTAATCTATTTTTCAGTCATCAGTGAAAGACTTTGCTGGCATGTGGAATCACCTTAGCATTGACAGTAATTTTTCTTTATTCGGTTTATTTTTTGTTCAACAAGAAGTCACGTTCATTGTTTATACTATGCCCCATTTGTCATGAGAATCTGTTGTGAGAATTCTTTTGTTTGAATCATTTCCATATTATTATAATGCAAACATTACACACTTAGGTCCTTAAACCTTTATATACCTTGCCACTCTTATGAAAGCTAAGTGATCCATTCAGGTACATTATGGTATATTTTTCAAAGCTGTAAATGTATGACATCCTCAAGAAATACAACTTTAAAAGATAGTTTTTCTTTGTTTCATTTGCTTGCAGATTTCGTAGTCTAACAACAGCATTCTTCCGGGATGCCATGGGTTTCCTCCTCCTCTTCGATCTCACAAATGAGCAGTCCTTCATCAACATCCGCAACTGGATGACACAGCTACAGATGCATGCGTACTGCGAGAACCCAGATGTAGTGTTATGCGGTAACAAGTCGGATTTAGACGACCAAAGGGCGGTATCAGACGAGAGGGCAAAAGAAATGGCAGAGAAATATGGGTAAGAAATCAGTCGTGGGAGGAATCCTTAATTCCACTACAGTTCCGTTTCTAAAGCTGGTTTTTGTAATCCTTTGAGAAAAATTTATTCTAAATCAAACCCATGCGTGTGGGCGACAAATCCTACCCGAGAATTTGAATCTTCAACTTTAAGCTTGGACTTAAAATTGCTATTATGTTTTTTCTGAAACAAAAATGGATGCTATTTTCAAGATTCAAGAATCAAGTTTATTGTATTGCAAGAACCCAGATGTAGTATTATGCGGTAACAAATCTGATCTAAATGATCAGACGGCAGTATTGATGAGAGGATGATAGAGATGCCTGAAAAATACGGGTAAAAAATTAGGAAAATCACCAATAGAGGAATGCTTCATTCTTAAAAAGGTTTGTGTTACCAAGAGCTAGCCTTGAATCATCTGAAGAAAATTCACCCTTAATCCCGTACATGTGTGTGGGTGTCAAATCCTTCTAAAGATTTCAACGTTTCATTGCAAATAGCTCCTGTTTTCTTCCATCTAACAGAAATGGATGCACCCATTGTGAAGGTTCTTTGAGAAGATATTTATACCAAATTTAACATTTCAAGAAAATAATAACATTCAGTATTTGACTTTGACTATGGGACCATACTGCTACAGCTGACATGAGATCGCGCTGTATGGGATTTTGCGGTAGTGCTTCTAGTACAGTATGACATTTATGATCTCCTAAAAATCTGTTTATAATAGTTTGCATTGTCGGTATAGCATGCATCACTCTCAGTTGTATGCTAATGTCTCACTGACATACGATACTGCTATTGTGATCAATTTTGTGAATGAATATGGATTTTACAGCATTTAAAAGATGACCTTGAGCAAATTACAAGGTCAATGGGAAGCATTGCAACTCTATGCATGATGGAAAGCTCAAGAGTTCAATCAATTGGTTAGAGCACTGACAGGTATATGATATACATTTATATGCAAGATTATTATCATTTACATATAACCAATAATAATTGGGCATTAATTAACAGACCAATAAGAAGTGTATTTTCTTCAGGGGTTACATCATTTTATGTACAAATGGTACAAAACCTAAGGTATGTTTTAATGTCACAAAATCATTTAGAGGGTATGAAATGATGTAGGTAAAGCCGGTCAAACTTAGTTTTGAACAAAAGTTGCTTATGGAAATTAAATGCTGTTTCTTTTATATCAGGAAAGTAAACTATGCAAGAGAAGCATTGGGGTTGAGCATTCACAGAGAGAATTACAGTCAAGGCCTATACATTTTAGAAGTCTCTGAAAAAAAATGTTGTTAAAAATGCTGTTATCTGCAAAGGAAACACTTCCAGCATCGTAAAATGGCTTGTATCGTGCTACAGTACAAAAAAAAAATGATGAGAAATGGATCTTACCCAAACCAGGCATTGGCTTTAACTAACTTGTGGCCTATTTGTTCAGATTCTTTAGCTGTCTCTTAGACAGTTGCTGGCAGCTAGGGCGGAACAATAAATCTTTTCTGATGTCCCGTCATGGGATATTGCATTTGCATAAAGATTAGATCAATTTTGGTTTTAATCAAATTTGAATTAGACTCTGTCTTCTGAGACTAGTTTCAGAAATAGTTACCCCCTCTTGAGGAGGAGCACTAGACTGTGTGGCTACCTTGTCAAACTTGATCTAGAATCATTTATGACTTGTAGAAGAAATTCAAGGGCTCATTATTACTCAACATTCTGCAAGCCAAACCAGGCTTCAGTTCAAGTTCAGACTGCCCTATACTCCATGTGCCCAGAACAGTTGCCTGTTTAAAGCCAGAAGGGTGTTATAACTCTATGTTAACGGATATCAGTTAACATGCAATGTTTGCTCTAAAGAAATATGTCATTATGGTTTTCCAATTGCCATTCTATTCAATATTTATGAGTATTTATTTTAGACACTACTTGTGTTGTCCTCCATTTCTGTTTACCTTTGGGCTGCTTTAAAATACAGAAAGTACACTTAGTTTATTTATCAGCCCATTTTAGTCACAACAAAGCATAATGGAATTGGATTTTTTTAGAATATATTGAAAAAGAATATATTGAAAAAGAAGAAAAGAAATTGAGAAGATGAGAGAAGCAAGAAACTGGACATAGAAAGCAAGTGAAATTGGTTAAGAATAGAATTAAGTGAAAATATTTGTCTGAATAGAATAGCAAGAAAATAAGATCTGGATGAAAAAGGAGTAAATGTTGCAAGGGGAAGGAGAACCCAGAGATAAAAATATTTAGTGAGGAAAACAAAATTGACAGTAGTGAAAAACAACATCTCTTGACAACATCATTCAGCTAAATTTAAACTCGCATATATTGACCTTCTCACGTCAGCTGTATTAATGTGTTTTTGGTTGACGCCTTTTTCTCGCTTCCCCGTTGATTTAGCAATTTGCAACTTGGTGTGCTGAATTTTGAAAGGACTGCTCCAAGCATATAGTGTATTCTTATGTATCAATACGACTCTGTATTGAAGTTAGGGTTGGAATGAGTATTGACATAAACACATGTAGGATTTTATACTTCAAAAGATTCCAGCTAGTGGATCAATTTGTGAATATATATGCTGATGACCAAGTGTGTTGAGTTTATATCAATTTATGAATTATATTCATACATTTATGTTTAGGAATACTTTTTTGATACAATTGAGGATTTCATTAGGATGAATTATTTTTCTTCCATTTTTATAAGTCACAGTTCACAGACAATGAACCCAGGGTCTGTGTACTACAAAGCGCAAGTAAAGTTAGATGTAAGACAGCAATAATCACTTAACCTTTAAGATGAGAAAGTTATTGAGTTTCTTTTAATTGAGAACTCCACCATTACAGTCATGACCCGAGCCATGATTGCCCGCCTAATGTGATGCAATAAACAGTATTGATTTTAGTGTGGGAACCAAATAAACATCGACTAACCAATATCAGGGAGTCGGAATTGGAGAGACTGACTTGTCACGCCAAGCAGGTCTACTGGGGAATAGGACAGAAAATATTAACAAAAACTATGGGGAGGGGGGGGGGGGGGATATAACATAATTCAGTTAGATGATTATGATAGAAGCCTATTTACATCACAGAAAAAAAACAATTTGAAAAACAATTGCTTTTTTGAACTACCATTTACACCATTAAAAACCATCAGAGTTTGATAATTCTGTTTTGTTGTGTGAATTGTGCACATGCGCCACTTGTCGCTGCTCTGCAGAAGAGTCAAGTGACCAAAAACCAGAATGAATCACTTGTGTTTTGAGTGCGAGCATTTTACACAGTTTAAACAAAACTGTGGAGTTTCATCTGGTATTTATATTTTAAAAAAACATTCCAGATCGAGGTGGGTTTCTTTATTCAGGTTTTTCATCATGTTTATAGGTAGTTGCCCAGCAACTTCCAACAAATCTTTGGAATGTGAGAAAAACTGATGGTTTTGCTTGCAGTGTAAACGCCCCTATTGTTTTACAAGTTGGTAAACTAGATCAAACAGCTACTTAATGTTCATGCATATTTCTCTCAAAGTGGGTGCCTTGCCCAACATATAAACACAATATTGCAAACAATGTTTTATGAGTGTAGGAATATATTAGACATTGTTGATGAGGTTAAGAAAAAAATAACAGGAAAAAAGCAGAAAGGATCTGAGCAAGGCTTAAAAGTAAAAAGAGGAAAGTCCAATTGCAAGACAAAAAAAAATGAATCTGGATGAATGGCTGATAGGAATATTTTGTGAGAAAGAAAGTTGAAGGAAAAAGAGTAGGAATGAAGGACATTGGAAAATGAAAGAAAGCTAGAAGTAATGAACAATAGATCATTTATTTGAGTCCTTTCCTACAGTAGATTATATTAGAGTCCTACAATGTACAAAGCATCCTCTTATATTATTAAATGTCAAGGTCACAGTAATGCTTACCCCTAAGGAATCAAGATTAATGATATGTAGCCCCACTGATCACATTATCAGCCTCTGATCATCGTCTATTCTAAAATGCAAATCCAGCGTCACCAAGGCATCAATAGAACATTGGCCACATCTCATCCATCCCCTCATCTCTCTAGGTAAAGAGAGATCATCAACTCTCTCATCCTAACACAAACACCATTTTATGCTCTTTAAACTCCAAACATGCTACCTGATTTATTCATTACACCGAGGTGTGTTGAATGAAGAGTGGATCTAGGAGTGTGAATGTTACAGTTTGGAGGGGGAGGGGTAATAATTCTGTTTGTATGTCAACTGAGTTACTGCCAAAAAGCAACATTCCTAGTCTATTTTCTTCGGTATTTTGTTCTGTTACTGTTATGATTTTATATTCATGATAGTTATTGCATTTTTGAAATACCTGTACCAAATAGGGCCTTATGGAAGACCACGATTATTGGTGAAAAGGTGCTGCCCTGTATATTATGTCAGAAATAAATAAATGAATAAATAGATAAATCCCTAGTTCTATAGAAGCAGGTAAAAAACAGCTTCTAAAATAACACCATTCACTAATAACCAAACAATCTTTGATTTCTTTCTCTTTCAATTATTGTGCAGATTACCCTACTTTGAAACAAGTGCTAAGAGTGGAAACAACATTGCCAAGGCGATTGAGTGCCTCCTAGACAACGTCATGCTAAGAATGGAGCGAAGTGTCGACAAGAGCCAGTTTCCGGGCGCGGTAATCGCCCATGGCAACGGGCAGGGCGCCCCCATGGAGTTAGATGAGGCAGGAGAGCACAGGAATGGCTGTGCCTGCTAGTCTTATTTTCAGATTTAATTTATGAGAAAGAACTTAGGTAGTGCTTGATATGTTATGGTTGGGCATTGGAAGTATTGGAAACAGTAGAGAGAATTTCATTTGCTGAAAGCCAGAAGGGCATGTTATATATTTAGCACAGAGTTAACATCCTTCTAGCACCAAGCGGATGATTTCATCTGTTTGAAGCCAGAAGGAATATTCATTCTTTTAAGATTATATGTCTTGACATCTTTCTGACTCTAAAGAGAGTATGTCATCTGCTGAGAACCAGAAGGGCATTCAATTTATGGATGGTTACTGACCTACTGGATCTCAACGGGTCATATAAGAAAAAAGTGTAGAATACCATGGAATGCTATGAGATGAAAGGGCCATGGTTAATCAAATGGTCAAACATTGATGCAGGTAAACATGATTCCGTCTGCTGAGATTTAAAAGGTGTTATGTCATATACCATACATAGTCTTCATGCTCTTCTAGCTCTTAGCAAATGATATGATAAAGTGACTACGTAGACCCAATGTGTATGTCCAGATGTTAGGTTTGGGCTAAACGAGTAGTTATCGGTTGTTAACAAATACATCAATCTTAGCTTTTGAAAGGTATTTGGTGTAAGACAGACTACAAACTAGATATTTCTCTTTCTTAAAAAACACAAACTATTGCCTCAGTGATAGATAATATCATTTTTGGTTGTTGTTTTATTTCTTTTTTACCACCTTGAAATGATGTAAATTGGGTTTATCAAGATAAACAATTGGATCCACCATTTTTCTAACCAAAATTAAAAATGTTATAAAATAATAGTTTTCTTGATCAATATTCAATGAACATGACTTGATGAAATATAGATGGAAGAAGCATTCAATAACCCAACACCACTTTTCCAGAAAATATATAATTACAAATCATCAAAATTGCCTCAGTAGTCCCTTTAACAAAAATAAGACAGAACGCCTTTCAAGGAAATATACAAGAAAATGGAATAAACTTTCTTAGAATTTGAGATAATAGATTCATTATGGTCATGCAGGGTTATATTAGGTAGAATATCTTTTCCTCTGAGCATATAGCATTGACTCAAATGGAGTCTGGGCACTTGCTCAGTACAGGTTGAATATAGTTTGTATTAAAAGTAGTTAGACTACTCTAGTTTTTGCTTGTAGAAGAGCTACATCAAGGACACTAGGAGGTTTCTTTCTTAATGAATGTACAATTCTGGTGTCATTATGATCATTGTTTGTTCAAAATTATTGTAACTATTGCCAAATATCTCAAATTGTATAAAGTCAGTATGATTAAATGAAAGGAAAATACTATTTTTGCAAAATAGACGGTTTAAAGTGTGCTGGTATTTCACCAGAGAGACAGTTCTCTCTGTAGATATCTGAATTCATGTGTTTATGTGACTGTATGTTAATTGGCCATGGATGTAGATATACATAGAAATAAAAAATGAAAAAGGCCATTTATTAAGCTGTGGGAATAGGTAATATGTAATAGAGAATTGTAGGGGGAAGGTCACATAATAATTTCTTTCACATCTTGATATTTAATGTTCAATCTTTCAAATTATGGTGTTAAGTATTGAGAGTGAGATTTAAAAGAAGAATTTGTTACTGGAGAATATTTCAGCCACACTGGCATACTAACACCAAACTTACCCCAAAATCAAAATAATCTAGGCCATTTGAAATAATATGATCAATTGTAATTCTAGTGTTTGGTCTGGAGTTAGTCCAGTCGCCAGTGTGACTTGGGTATTTTTAACTTGTTTGTACTGATAACTGGACTTCTTTTAAAATTATTTGGTGAACTGTTTATAAGACACAATAAGACACATTGCCATGCTTTTAAGTTTTACAAAAATTTACAACTCACTCATCCTTCATACCGGTAGATCAAAGTTGCTTTTTTTTATAATTTGTGATTTGGGTTGATTGCGCTTTCAGTGATTGACTTTCAATGAATCTGTACAACTGGGTGTCAATAAGCTTCTGGTGTTTATTTTTAATCCAGGTGCTAAGTCTTTATTTATAAAAAAATAAAAGAAATTGCATTGTATGTCTGGAAATATTTGCTTTTTTGCCTTTAAAACTAATTCTTTAACTCTTCATTTACCACATCCTCGTGTTATTTCAATAAGTCACATTTTATAGGCAATGGATCAATGTGTATGTTTGGAACCAGAATGGCATTAACTTGTGTACTTAACACAGAGCTAACACCCTTCTGACTCTAAACATACACAATAGAAAGGCAAGCAAGTGAAGAAATGAGAAATAATGAAAATTCATGTGGTCAGTGAACAATCAGAGAGGACACATAAGTGTATTAGAAAAGCAGTATCCAATCAGAGAGGACACATAAGTGTATTAGAAAAGCAGTATCCAATCAGAGATGACACATAAGTGTATTAGAAAAGCAGTATCCAATCAGAGAGAACACATAACGTCCTTGTTTTCACGAAGTGACGGTAGTGAGGAAAATCGTAACGCAAAGTGAATGCAATTTTTTTTCACTACCGTCACTTCGTGAAAACAGCGACGATAAGTGTATTAGAAAAGCAGTATCCAATCAAAGCAAGATGTGTATACATGATTTGTATGAGTGACTTCCATGCGGACAAAGATATATTCAGTTGGAATTATGTTGGAGAAATGCCTTGAATTGGAAAGTATGTTGCAGTCGATAGTATAATTATAATTATTATATCTTGTACATAACTATATGATGTAAATACATATCTCTCGCTATTAAGTAATTATGTAATAAGTCTTGCTCATGTACATGCATTTGCTTCTGTGGTAAATATGCTATTTCTAAAACCTTTGGATGTACATTATTCATGATGATGGCTTCTATGTTGAGCTGGGGAAGAAAATACTGAAGTGTTTCACTCACGTGAACTACTCGTCTTGTTTGTACTTTTGTGTGATAATGGATTGTTTGTTTTGTGATTTTTTTTCTTAATTTCTTCAGTATACCTCAGATGTAATGGCATATCTGTATTGCAAAGTTGCAGATGTTGATTTTCGATCATTCCATACTCTTAGTTCCTGTTGAATTATCCTGTTGAAAATCATATGCATCAATTACTGCCATTAAAAATAAGTTTTATGTGAAGTAGATATGTGAAATTGATGATGTCACAGAAAAGCAAATCTTTGTCCCATCTATCTCATCAGATTATGCACCATATCAATCATATCGTAGTAGCGTGGAATAACATTATTGGAGCCATGAGGTTAAAGCTTAAAGGTCAATTTTCTTTGTCAAGTACAAAGTGGTTGTATACCGTCAATTTTGTACCTTAGAATGCATTAAAGTCATTAAGTCGAAGTTGATAAACATGTACTCAACATGTTAATTTACTCTATATGATCACATATAGATGGACTAATGGTTACAGATATCAAGTTCAGAGGTCATGTTATTTATTTCTATATTTATAGGCAGATATATAGTAGCGACAGTGTTGTATTCATCTATTTTTTCCACAGTAAAATTCAAATGTGACAGTAATGTGTATTGTACATCTGTTTGTGGTTTATCCTTTACCTTACTAGCTGTGTGCTCTTCTTTCCTTCATTTAAAAAATAATCCATTTTGACAGTACCTTTCTTTTATTTTAGTTCATTTAGAATGTACAGCTGTACTCTATATATCTATTTTTTATGCAAACTGAATAACACTTTAATCCTAACATGAACTTGTTGTGTTTTGTACATTAACATCAATTCTACCTTATCCATGTATGGATTGATTAACATGTCTGATAATCTTTTTAAGATTCATTCTCAAGTTTTCCAATATAGGGATGCTTCCTCACCTGAGCATGTTTATATAGTCCTAAATTTGTTACATTTAGTTTACATGCAGGTAGTGTATAATACAATGTTTTCTGCCATGTCAGGGAACCTTCAGAAAGCGATAGTGATAGAAGTATGCTTGAAGATATATCTCATATTTGAAATCAGATCTTGGAAGATGAAGGGTCAGTTACTATATTTTCATATTGTTCCTAAAAAAAGGTTTTTGATTACTGGGTTTGAAACTGTCACTCTGTGTTATGATCAAATTAGATTGCTTTTCAAATTCTTTGCTACTTTTCATTATTTTGTGCAGCTAGATATTCAGCAATAATGCATTGTAATATAACTTCTTTCCTTGCTACTTCCATGCCTCCCAATATCTTTGATTGTTATCAGATGATTAGATGTTATACTATGTTATCAGATAATGTATTTTTCCTTCACACTATCATCTTATTTTTTCAGAATCTAGATAACAAATTTTATTTTAGAAAAATATTGAAAATAGTACACCTAGAAAATTTAGTCAACATTCACTATAAACCTAAAAGAACTGGAAAATTAACAAAATTTGATGATTAAAACTCCTAAAATCTGATTGCACGCCCCCTATACAGGAACATTTTAAAAATTAATTTCTTCAAAAAGAATGACAGAAATTTACAGGTTATTAATTTTGGAACAATGTGTTTATCTGCTGCTGATTAAATGGAAAATATGTATTCAGATACTGAAAGGCATCAGTCTGGTGATGATCTAATTGATAAAGAAGAAGAAAAAAGAAACAAGTTTGTTGTTCCCCATTTTCAACTTCATCATTTACGCTCGCAATATTATTCATCGTTTTTTTTTAATTAAAAAAATATATATTTTCTTCCTTTTTCTTCCTTCCTTCCTTCCTTTTTCTCTACATGTGCCCCTGCAGAGATTCCTTTTCTTTAAACTTGTAAAACATTTTTCTAGATTGGGCTATATTACTTGTTTTTATTTGTTGGTGTGTTTGTAATTTAGTGTTTTATTGAATTCTCTATTTCTCAGCTGATGTGTCATTCTTCTTCACCTTCTTCCTCTCCTCCAGAGATACATTTACATTTTCCCTTTCCTTTGCTCCTTCATTTGCACTCCTCCTAATCTCCCTCCATCATCTCATCTTTGCAACACTTTTCAGACACCAAATTGATCTCTTCTCCTTCTGTTAATATAGGATTTGTCTCCCCTTTTCTCATCATCTCTCCTCATCGTCTTGCATTCATCTGTCTGATAGTGTAAATTGGCTCATTCTTCACCACTTTTCACACAGCTATTTTCCCCCTTTCTCCATTCTTTCTCCCCCCCCCCCCCCCCCCCCTTGGCCGTCATTTTGATTCCTTCTACCAATCACCTTTCTTCATCATCTCCTCTTTATCACTCTCGTGAGGGGCCAGATAGCATAAATTGGTTCATTCTTGCATCGCCGCAACAGGCATTATTTGATTATGGACGTACTCTCATTGGCTGGGAAATACAGTTAGGAGGGCGTGTGGGATTAAATTGACTTGAAGCAGAAAATGTCTGAGTGTCCGTATGGGCAGAATGTCCTCTAAACAGGAGTGGTGACATATTATGTTAAAGGAGGTACATATGTTTTTTAAACAGAACCCAGTGACAAGGAAAATAAGTTTCACATTTATCTGAAGCAAGTAACAGATTTTGATGAGGGCTAATTTGAAAAATCATATGCGACATTATAACCCCCCCCCCCCCCCTCCCTGCCTTCCCCTGAACAAGGACCTTGGCTTTACATCCGAAAATCTCAGAAAATAAAACATGCTAGATAACACAGTAACAGTTATATAATCCACCCACATCTCGTCTCTTGATTATTTCTGTGAGAACATCTTAGAATAGATTATAATTTTTTTTCCAGTAAGGGGGGGGGGGGGCAAACGGGATTGTTTTTAAAAAAAAAAACTACCCTAAAGTGGTTGATGTTTAGGAATGCTGTCTAACATGGTAACATAATTCTTTCTGTCTAACCCTAACCCTAATTCTATCTCCATATCTGTCTTTATATTGGGTATCTTAATGTCATTGTCTTGATAAACATTCACTCTTAGCTACTTTGCATTTTCCCTTCATGGCTTTGAGCTTGTCTTTCATTTAAATTCTCAAATGTTCTACCTTCTCTTGTATGCTACGTTCATGTCGTGTGATTACAGCCTTGTTCAGACACATGTTTTAAACACGTATAAGAAACCAACTCAACAAAAAACAAACGACACCTTGCGTGTAACTGAATGGTTAAAGATAATGTTGTGGGGGTCAAAAACAGCTGCATGCACAACAGGCACATAGCCAGAGTTTGATATTTGGGGGGGGGGGGCAGATACATGTAATCGATCAAGGTAAAAAAAAGTTCAACCGATCTTGGAAATTTTTGCCCCCGTGGCTACGTGCCTGATGCACAAGCCTCTACGCACGTTGAGTGTTTTGTACTGTAGTAACTGATATATGATGTAAACTACATATCTTATTATTTTTGCAATGGGGCAGTTTATTGTCTTGTGTGTAAATGGGGCATGGATTGAGGTATGACATGCTTTTATGAATAACTACCCTAAGTAGAATGAACTTCAATTACTGTTGTAACTAGATGCATGACTTGGTTATTATAATTATGCATGGGAAGATTTGTATTATGCTTTTACTTTCATACACGATTCAAGCAATGCAAAATTATGTATATCGGAAACAAGAATCCTTATGTAATAGAAATATGAATATAGAATGTTATTGTTATGATGTATGAAGTTGTTCCAAGTGGTGTGTTGGAGTAATCAATCCTTTTTTTTTTTGCATATTAATGTTCACTCGAACCAACTCACTTTGAATTCCTAACTCAAATACCTGCGGGTTTGTTTTTTTTCAATAACAAAAATATTGCTTTTATTCTTAAAAAGAATATGATAATGGTCATTGTTTTTATGTATAGTATTCTATCAAAATGTGACTAAAAATGCCTGATTTATCATCTCACAAACAAAATGTATGTAAGTTATGCCAACATATATGTTCTATTATTTTTTATTGTATTCAAAATGATGTGTAATCATGAAAATCATGGCTTTTTACCATTTCTTTTTCCATTCTTACAAATGATTTAAGTGACTTCTATTTTGTAGAGTTATATTTTATGAAAGATTGCATTACATGTATATTTCAGGAACAGGCTAGACACTCTGCCTGTGAAAGTTTTATCTACCCGTTCAAAGCATTAATTTGAAAGTGCAAATGAAGATTATTTTGACATTCCTATTTGTTTTTGTATGTTGCTACAAACTTGTATAGTTATATTGCATCATTAATTTTATTTATTGGAGTAGTTATATGGGTAATTATACGAATGGCAGCAAAGGGCATGCCTAATGTATGTGGTAGGCTATATGTATGATGAACGCTTCAATTTTATTGTTACTTGTGAAATGTAACTATAAAAGAGGAGTCTAGTTTTTGAATATTAAAATGCACTTGGGCTATTAAAGGGGGATAAATAATGAAAAGAAAATGTGTATTGTGTATTTTTTTTAAAGTTCGGCGTAGCTAATAGCCTGTTCAGATTATAGGAAATTTATACAAAACTTGTATGAAGAAACGTATGAAGAATCATTGTATAACAAAAGGAGGGTAAAGTCTAGAAAGCAATTGAATAAAGGTCGTTTTGACAAGGTCAGTTGAAATGACATCTGGCCAATCATTAAAACGCACTCATGATAAGCCCCGCCTAGTTTTACGATTTCTGTACAATATGTTGTTCAGACTAGAGCCGGTCCCTGATTCGTTATCGACTTTTACTTTGAAACAATGCTTAAACGTGCATTTTGCTATAAAATGCTTTGTTATACGTTGTTCAGACAAGCAACATTTTAGGTTACTTATCATATACAAGTCTTGTATAGCTATACGCTGAATGTGGGTAGCCTGAATGCAGGGTTAGGTACCTGAATAATGGTGTATGAGGGAATGTTGAACATCTGAGAGTGAGTTCTCATGGGAAATATGACACCATTCAGGTATTCATCTGAATAAAAGATGTAAACTAGGAGTGGCCTTCATTCCTTGGACCAAAAATCCTTACAATAATGCACTGCATTATCTATACTTATCACCACATTAAGTAAAATGTTATCATCCCAAATTATCCCTCACTTGACTCTCCAAAGAGACGGGGGGGGGGGGGGGAATTTCTTGGTGGGACATACAATTCACCGTGTGCAAGACCTGTAACCCATTATTAGTATTTCCACCTTGTCAGCGAATTATGACATACTGCACATAGAAACTGCTGCCCATGTCCCTTTTGCAAGCCAACACATGTCAACATACTGTTTAGGAACTCCCCACCATATTGGAAATTGGGTACTGACTTTCCATGAACAATTGACCTCATATTTCAAATTAGAATCGAGGCACGTCAGAAAATATTATATGTCTACGAGGCACCAAGTGTATCTGTTAACAAAATCAATAATTTTGTCATCATAACAATCTTATCATCTGACTTGTTCTCGCAGTTGGTCATGGGACTGATTTCATCGGCAAGAGCAATTGTTCAGATTGATTTGTAACAAAATTATTGATTTTGATATAGAATTACAATTATTTTATGATCAGAAAAGACACGTTTGTTTTTGTTTTTCATAGAAATACTGTGGAACCTACGACTGAGATTTCATATTTATTATAATATGATGGTATCATGCTGATCCCTGCTAAATTTCACATTTGACGTACATTCCAAAAGGGGTGAAGGGTGGGTAAACTGACCACATGTTTAAAAAAAAACTGATTTTTCTGAGCATAAAGTAATTGTAATTCTATATCAATCTTAACAAATGCTTTCGCGGATGAAATCGGAATAAACATCCCTTCAGACTTGTTCAGATAGGATACAGTAAACCACGGCATCATACCTGCAGCAGCTTTTTCACACTTTGTAAATGAATGGCAAATGCATGATACAGAGGTACTCTTTGGGCTCCATGGTATAAGATTCAGAAACGTGAAGTGTATTACACTTAACTTCATCATAACAAAATCACTGCAGTTTTAGGGACACTGATTTTCCGTTTCAAAAAATGGCCTTTTCCGTTTCAGAAAATCTGGAATTCCGTTTCAAATGGGCTGAAAATCGGAAATTCCGTTTTGCCATAGACTTTGTACACATGAAAAAACTAAAATTCCGTTTACATAAGATTTTCAGTAAAACATGAACTTGTAGGGTACAAATGTTCTATTAAAGCCGCCACCTTTGACAAGCCACTGATAACCACTCAAAAACATACGGACGGGACTGGATAAACTTGATGCAAAATACTAGTGAAAATATAGACCCCTAGGGTCTAGGCTAGACCTACGAATAATTATCAAATGTTTAGATTTACCAACTTCAAATTCGAACTTAGACAAGCAGACTAAAGTTAGCAGAATGTGTCAGAACACAGTACAGTGCCCTGTCTCCTAAGAATCTCATGAATATTGCTAAATATTCAGAATTATTAACCATGATGTTAGGCCTGATATTTTTTCACTGCATAACAAATCACAAAAATAGTGTAAGTTTTATGATTTTCTTCTTGAAAAATGAAAATTTTTGAGGTAAAAGGTGATTTTCCGTTCGAAATTGCGTCCGTTTTGCGTCTGAATTCTATCCGTTTTCCGTGATCGCGTAAAATCAGTGTCCCTACAGTTTACCACTGCATATCTGAATAAGGTTTGATTGTTGGTAAAAGATCCCTGCTTGCATCGTCCGATCTCTGCTCTTGCTCAAACACTGACACACCTACAACTTGAATGAATAACACAACAACATTATCGTTGTAGTTGACTTTCTATTTGAGTAAGTACAACAGAGACAGTTCAACATATAGAATATAAAAATTAGTCTTGATATAATTCATATAGAGCATATGTAATACTATTTACAACTTAACCCTTTACTGTCATAGAGCTGATCATTCTAAATTTTCTTCCTTGCCACAACTACCTATCCTAAATTCCTAATACACTTATTTTATTCAATGACAATACAATATTGACTATTACAGAAAGCAGATAACATTGAAATTACAGCATACATTACAATGTAAGAGTATTTTGAAAAAGTAATTAAATTTTATATTTTGATCATTATCTTAGTTTATATGGATTGAAGATGTAATAAACCTCATTTCATCTTAAACGAGCCTGAATAGATCAAGGCTTTATCTTGGGTAGTCGAACTCCTGTTTCTCAATAAAGTTCCCCTTGATAACCGGAATGATTGTTATGGATTTTACTGACATAGCAATATTTAATACATGCAAGTTGAAGATTGTATCATGCAAAACATGCAAATTCAATAGTTTGTCACCAAGGATTCTGGGTAGAAATGAGCATGAATTTGAAAAAGTCTATAATTTGACAACAGTGATTAACAGATTGTATAAAAAGGAGGTATGCAAAAGCTTTAATATGGTAATATGAAGATAGAGAGGAAAGAAAAGGATTGAATGAGGAAATGAGACAATCAAACAGTTTTACAACAATAAAGAACAAGATTACCCTCATTACATTATAAACTACAGGTACCATTTTAAATATTATCAAGAAAACTGCATATTATACAATCTGTGAAATGAAACATATCTCAAATGTGGATTAAATTGGATTTAAAAAAGTATTTTGAACATGTATTTAAAATTGAAACTTCAAAAATACCAGGTTACATTAAAAAAGATTTTGTAATTGTCTGTTTTGAAATTTACCGAATGCCTGGATTAATAGTTACTTGTACTAAAAATCTATCAAACCAAATAATAAAATCTACTTGTTCATCCAATTTTGTTACAAATATTTTTGTATACATGTAGGCTTATCAAAAGAATATTCCATATCTGATTCTAAATTACATTCCATATCTATTTCTGATATAAACTTCTTACTTGTTTCCTTTTGGAAAAAATAAATAACAGAACAAATATTTAAACATTTAATCAAAATCTTACCTGTTGTACAAAATGAAATGCATATGTAAATTGTAAATATTACCCAAGTAAATAAATATTGCACATTCTTAGAAGCTAATCTGTTACATACATGCAAGGATTCCCATGCAACTAATGTAGGAAAGTCACAACCTTGGTACAAACATATTGGCATGATTGGAGCATTGTTATGGAGCATTCCATTACAGAATCCATTCAAGTAAACATTAGAGGACAAATCCATCATTCTAGCAGATTGAATAGAACTGACTAACATACACATGTAATCAACAAACCTAGGTATAAATTTCTTCATACATTGGTGCCACCTAAACAGGACATCATGAATTATGAGTTGACAAGTTAACCACCATTTTTTTAATACCGGTGTTTCAGCTTAAGAAAATGAATTTTCTTCAGTCTATAATGACCTAGTTCTTTCATTTAAAAGGCCCTCTCCTTAGGCAGATCCAGTAGCACCTGATTTCAAGAAATGCACAAACACTCATCAAGATATGGATATGTTTGTCCTCTTCATTGTCTCTGTAATGCCTCTTCTGAAACCACATCTATGCCATTTCTGTCAGACTTTCCTCTTCTCCTCACCCTTTAAGCCTTGCTCATCTTTTAAGTAGCTGCATTTAGCATTTGTTATATTAGGGAAGCCTCATCAACTTTTGCGATGTTCTTCATAAGGGCCCAGCAATTATTATTACCACAGCAATTGCCAGGTACCCATCTACACCTGGGTGGAGAGTGGAAAATGTGGATTAATGTCATTATTGCTGGGCTAGGATTCGAACTCCTCAACTCCTGGATTGAGAATCAAGTGAATGAACCACTATACCACATCACTGTTCTTCTATATGTCTTGGTGTAGCATATGATTTCATATTTGTAACCTGCTGGTGGTTCAAGCGGTACGGTTCATATCCTCCAGTCGTCTTCCTTCCTTCTAACCATTCCATCCTTGTTAACAATGATTGTCACTCTTTGTCACTCTTTGTCACCCTTTGTCACCCTTTTGTCACTTATTGATTGTCACGTCTTTCTAGAGTGGTTGGAGTTGTCCCATGGCATCTGGTTTAAGGTAGGTGACCCTCATGGCTCCCTGGTTGGCTGCTGCGATGTCTGCCATCACCTCCGCATCCCACGAGAAGTTGATCACTACTGCAGGGGCCTGGACAAACAAAACATACATATACAAACATAATCAAGATCAGCGTTTCAGACTAAAAGAGTAATCATTATGATTATGCAAGTTAATTTAATATTTTATTCTGATTTTAAGTTAGAGAATTTTCAAAATGATCATCCACACATCTCAGAATGTTCACAAGTCCACCTGAGCACTTTTTCTTGATTGTGCAACTATTTCTAGGGTTTTATGGTATATTCATTTAGACTACAGTAGCCTTCACATCCTCACCTGGGGTTCCTGCGCAAAAGTCTTACTTCAATAATTTGAAACCGAGATTAAATACAAATATTAACACAAGCCCTTACTTAATGGAAAATTTGTAATCAAATAGAAAATGTAACTGATGTTATGCAAAATGCCCATTGTGCAATTCTAGTTTTAGAACTCCTTTGTGGATTTATTCAATGACTGGCAAGAAGACTGCACGCTTCATGACGTGATGTTTCAAACCATCAGCTGGCTGAATGAAACCCATGGGGTTGATCCTCGTGACCATAAAAACACTTGATCCACTCCTAAAGTCACTCAATCTTCTTGTACTTACCAGATGTAGTTCAGCCAGCATCTTATCATCATCGGTCAGTTTGATGTTGCCTGGGTCGGTCAAGATAAAAGGCTGCCAACTATTGTCCAGCTGAGACTGGACAAACTCCTTGAGTGTCCGAAGCTTGTCCCTTGCATAGAAAGTACCTGAAAAAAGATAGATAGAATGAATATTAAATCATACATACAATTGTACAGATTCATACACAAAAACATATCTGTAAAGTCCAAGAAAGAAATTTTCATGTCTACATATTGAGAGAAGCTCATAATACAATCATCCATTAACAATTAGGAACTATTGAACAAAAATTATCAATGTAAGTTAGTTGTAGTGATGTGACTTTCATTGACTTTCAAGCAGCAGGTGAATAATTCATTGACAATAGACCTTCTGATGACAACATGTAGATTGACTAAATGTACGTCTTCTATCCAGAAGAAAATGACCCTTTCTCATGTGCTTTATGCTTCAGCTAAAAAAGAGAGAACAGACAGAGGAAGTTGAATGACCTTTAACTGACAACAATTAAGAACTTTGGACAACAAAAAGGAATCGTATCACAGGCCAAAACCTATGTAAAAAAGGGAAAGGCCTGTAACCACCCTTTATCTTTTGGACTGTCTCACTGTCTTACCTTGCAATAAGACACCATCTGGGAAGCGCACCCTGATGAGAGCATAGCGGTATCTACGTAGCGCCTTCTGGGACTCGGCTTCCTTCATGGCTTTCGTTCGTAGGACTGAACCACGCTCAATTACCTCAGCCCTGCAATTCAATAGATGCAATACTCTTGTGATTTCTTTGTTTAACTTCACTTGGCTAATACAATTCCATTGCCTTCAAATCTATGAATCATGCCTCAATATTTTCCCAAAGGGATCAGGAACAGAGAGTAATGACAGAAATGAGGACTAAACAAAAGAATGTTACTTGACTACCACTGTGCAAAAATATTGGAAACGGCATAAAAGCCGATTAAAGGTGAATGTAGAAGTATGTAGAACACTACCACCACCACCATCAACAACATCAATAACAACAACTACAACAACAAGGCAAAATAAAAGCAAGCATCCAACAGACAAAATTAGAATGAAGTTTATGGATAAAAACTAAACCATTCTGACAAACTTAAGAGACAATAAGCCTGAAAAGTATGGGTTAATTGATGGGTCATTGACAGTAGGTGTAGTCAACAAACATTTTTTTGTTCCAATAAAGGAAGGCTACATACCTGATCTGTTGTTCTTTTTTGATTTCCTCTGGAGTAAGCATGTAGAATTCGCTTGGAAGTTCGAAGTGGCTTGCTCTTTGGGACGGCTGGTAAACCTTCATGTCCCGTTCCAGCACTGGTTTGTATGGAGTACCAGACTTCAAGAGCTCCTTCATAGCATTCAATCTATCAATGTCTGAGGCTCTCTCCTCATTCAGCACAAAGAAATCAGTCTCAGAATCTATGGACAAGAGAATAATTAATCATTTGCAGTTTGATGAGGTTGGTTTGGTGGATAGAAAACATTACAGCAATAATTTTCTTGCAAGATAGATATCATATCAAGACATTGATCTACATTTGCCTCACTCAACCCAGGTGATGTAAATGGGTTAAGGCTGTGCACAACAGTGTAATGAGGTACCCGAGTACACTCCCAGGCTCTAATGCGAATACTCGAATATTCGGACGCCATGTTTTTTTATAATTTTTTTGAATTTTTTGATTTTTTAAAAAAAAATTTGATTTTTTGATTTTTTTGATTTTTTTGATTTTTTTGCCACTACCATACCACTCAGCAGTTTCCCCTCGCTGAAAACGCATGCAATTTTACTTTGAGTTGCAGTTGAAGGCGCCGATTTAATAAGAATAATAACAGTAAACAATGCTGTTTTAAAAACCAAAGATGGCAGAATAATCCATTTTCCTCCAAGTCCAAACAGAAATCTGGACATTTGGTCCCAGTTTCTGAAAGGTGAGTTTGACAGTGCTTGAGTTGGGAAACATTTTTACCGACGGTACCATGCCAGCGGTCGCTGCTCTCCCTGGCACGGGTAAGCGTGGGCCTGGACATTTTTTTTTTTTTTTTTTTTTTGCGGCCGTATATTCGGGTACGAGAAATCGTACCCGAGTAGTTGTCAACCGTGCGGGTACTCGAGCATTTGACTACCCGTCGCAGCCTTAAAATGGGTACCTGGCAGGATTTAATTCTTTGAAATGCTGGAGCGTCATAATGGCAGCACAGCTAAAGCCGGGGTAATGATCTCCAAGTTTGGAAGCGCTTAGTGATTGTAATAAGCGCTATATAAAAACTGAGTATTATCATTATTATTAGATGGAAAGGTCAGGAAGTATATGTATTTGGCACACAGTGACAAGGAAGTAGATGTCTTTGGCACACAGTACCAACTCAATTCCCATAAATACAATATATTCCTTTTGAATACCTGGCTTGAGGGTGTAGGAACATGAAACACTCTAACCATGAATCCCGTCTATGATACTGCTTTGTTGGTTGTTGCTAGGACAAATGCCTAAGTGCTTTGTAAACTATGGATATATTTCTATGATGACTATTACATTAATACTAAGTTTGGATTCACATTATGCCGACAAAATCAGTTGGCTTAGCATTGGTTTTGTGGAGTGACTGGCATGTTGTGGCATTAGTTTTTTGACGTGATAGGATTGAACAGATAAGTTTCGACTGAACAGAGGATTGAACTAACCTTCATAAGGCAGTATCTTCCTCTCAAAGCCAACAGCTTGAAGGAACTCCTCTGCACCTACCAGTCCGGTAATCCTTTCCTGAAAGGCCTTGTTGCTTGATCGGATCTTACGATACTTCTCTTCCCCTGGATTCAGGCACACATTATCGAGATATCTGTAACATGTATAATATTAAAGACATTGTTAAACAAAGTTAAATCTGAGATGCATGGCCCTATGTGTTATCAGTGTCTGTGATATGGTGTGATATATTGAAGCCCTAAAAAAGTTGCGCTTCAAAATATTAATGAAGTGCCTCAAAAAATTAAAAAATTCAAGTGACCGGTTTTACCATACTCATTTTCCCCAATAGACTGTAGTGTTATAAAAATCGTCATAAATATTTTAATAATCAGATGGGGGATAGGCTTGTAAAATTCTTGGGATTCCCGACGGACCTAAAGGTTTATAATGATGATTACTGCATGAGCTAAATCCAGAATTTTGTTTCAGAATCTGAGGCAATGTTACCGAGTCACTTTAACATGAATACATTGAAGGTCAATATTTTGCAGTCTAAGCATTTCAAATAGACAGCATATCCTGCAAATGAACAATCCCACTATCATTCTATTGCAATAAATATATTTGACGTAAAAGGTCCAACTCACTTGCATATTGTATCCACCCCTACTTTGATCTTGCCTTTGTCCTTGTTGAGTGTGTATACCATGGTGGCTGATGCTGAAGGTGGGTCCTCGGCCAGTTGCTGAAATCAAACATGGTTTATCTATGATGTTGGCTCATGTACTCATACCCACATGTTATGCCCTTCTGGCTCGTAACAGACAATGTATGCTTCAATGGAAATCCTTTGAAACAAAAAGGTCTTTATAGACCAGTTATTTTTAGATAATCATTACACAAATTTGATGTATCGATTGATATAAACTTCTGCGAGTGTAAATTAAGAAGTTTAATTTTGCCCCTCAAACAAAGAGTCCCTTGTTAAACCCATGTCTCTCAATTGTCACGTTTAGAATCACTGATCATGCAATACTGACGTCCAATTTTGATAAAATTATGGCCCTTGGAAATCAATATAACTCTTTGCCCTAATTGCAAATGCATGTAAAGAGATTGTAACTTCCAGAATGAAATAGTTAGCAATATAAAGTCAATGCTTTCATGTACAATTAGATCTTGGTAACAGGAGACATTCTCTAACATGCAACTTTATAAGGTACACATGTATCAGATATGTAACTCACCATAAGAAGACATTCTGTGAGATGGGCCTCAAATTCTGGTTTCTTTAATCTCATAGAGCATCTACACCTGAAAGTGACACCTAACACTAGCAGAGCAGCTTGATTGTCACTATAGTCTTGATTGGCTGTTGCCCCACCCTAAAAGAAGAAACATAATAGAGAAGTTACTGATTGATCGAGCTTGAGAGATTGATTACATACAAATAGGCCAGTCATGCATATTTGGTCTATCTGTGTCTCATACATTACCAAATACCAAGTATCATGAAGCATGATGAACACAGAAACCATTATTTTCTTTTCTCTTTCCTTTCTCTTTCCCTTCTCTTTCCTTTCTCTTTCCTTTCTCTTTCCCTTCTCTTTCCCTTCTCTTTCCTTTCTCTTTCCTTTCTCTTTCCTTTCTCTTTCCTTTCTCTTTTCTTTCTCTTTTCTTTCTCTTTCCTTTCTCTTTCCCTTCTCTTTCCCTTCTCTTTCCCTTCTCTTTCCCTTCTCTTTTCTTTCTCTTTCCTTTCTCTTTCCTTTCTCTTTCCCTTCTCTTTTCTTTCTCTTTCCTTTCTCTTTCCTTTCTCTTTCCCTTCTCTTTCCTTTCTCTTTCTTTTCTCTTTGTCTGTCTGATCTCAGCTAAAGAAAAGCTATCTACTTAATACTTTAAATACTTAGGTAATACCTCAGGTAAACCAATTTTTTCAATTTTCCTTTCTCTTTCCTTTCTCTTTCTTTTTTATTTCCTTTCTCTTTCCTTTCTCTTTCTTTTCTCTTTCCTTTCTCTTTCCTTTCTCTTTCCCTTCTCTTTCCTTTCTCTTTCCCTTCTCTTTCCTTTCTCTTTCCCTTCTCTTTTCTTTCTCTTTCCTTTCTCTTTCCTTTCTCTTTCCCTTCTCTTTCCTTTCTCTTCCCCTTCTCTTCCCTTTCTCTTTCCCTTCTCTTTTCTTTCTCTTTCCTTTCTCTTTCCTTTCTCTTTCCCTTCTCTTTCCCTTCTCTTTTCCTTTCTCTTTCCTTTCTCTTCCCCTTCTCTTCCCTTTCTCTTTCCCTTCTCTTTTCTTTCTCTTTCCTTTCTCTTTTCTTTCTCTTTTCTTTCTCTTTCCTTTCTCTTTCCCTTCTCTTTCCCTTCTCTTTCCTTTCTCTTTCCCTTCTCTTTCCTTTCTCTTTCCCTTCTCTTTTCTTTCTCTTTCCTTTCTCTTTCCTTTCTCTTTCCCTTCTCTTTCCCTTCTCTTTCCTTTCTCTTTCCCTTCTCTTTCCTTTCTCTTTCCCTCTCTTTTCTTTCTCTTTCCTTTCTCTTTCCTTTCTCTTTCCTTTCTCTTTCCTTTCTCTTTCTTTTTTATTTCCTTTCTCTTTCTTTTCTCTTTCCCTTCTCTTTCCTTTCTCTTTCTTTTTATTTCCTTTCTCTTTCTTTCTCTTTCTTTCCCTTCTCTTTTCTTTCTCTTTCCTTTCTCTTTCCTTTCTCTTTCCTTTCTCTTTCCCTTCTCTTTCCCTTCTCTTTCCCTTCTCTTTCCCTTCTCTTTCCTTTCTCTTTCCCTTCTCTTTCCTTTCTCTTTCCCTTCTCTTTTCTTTCTCTTTCCTTTCTCTTTCCTTTCTCTTTCCTTTCTCTTTTCTTTCTCTTTTCTTTCTCTTTCCTTTCTCTTTTCTTTCTCTTTCCTTTCTCTTTCCTTTCTCTTTCCCTTCTCTTTTCTTTCTCTTTCCTTTCTCTTTCCTTTCTCTTTCCCTTCTCTTTCCTTTCTCTTTCTTTTCTCTTTGTCTGTCTGATCTCAGCTAAAGAAAAGCTATCTACTTAATACTTTAAATACTTAGGTAATACCTCAGGTAAACCAATTTTTTCAATTTTCCTTTCTCTTTCCTTTCTCTTTCTTTTTTATTTCCCTTCTCTTTCCCTTCTCTTTCCTTTCTCTTTCCTTTCTCTTTCCCTTCTCTTTCCCTTCTCTTTCCTTTCTCTTTTCTTTCTCTTTCCTTTCTCTTTCCTTTCTCTTTCCTTTCTCTTTCCCTTCTCTTTCCCTTCTCTTTCCCTTCTCTTTCCCTTCTCTTTCCTTTCTCTTTCCCTTCTCTTTCCTTTCTCTTTCCCTTCTCTTTTCTTTCTCTTTCCTTTCTCTTTCCTTTCTCTTTCCCTTCTCTTTCCTTTCTCTTTCCTTTCTCTTTCTTTTTTATTTCCTTTCTCTTTCTTTTCTCTTTCTTTTCTCTTTCCTTTCTCTTTCTTTTTTATTTCCTTTCTCTTTCTTTTCTCTTTCCCTTCTCTTTTCTTTCTCTTTCCTTTCTCTTTCCTTTCTCTTTCCTTTCTCTTTCCTTTCTCTTTCTTTTTTATTTCCTTTCTCTTTCTTTTCTCTTTCCCTTCTCTTTCCTTTCTCTTTCTTTTCTCTTTCCCTTCTCTTTTCTTTCTCTTTCCTTTCTCTTTCCTTTCTCTTTCTTTCTCTTTCCTTTCTCTTTCTTTTTTATTTCCTTTCTCTTTCTTTTCTCTTTCCCTTCTCTTTTCTTTCTCTTTCCTTTCTCTTTCCTTTCTCTTTCCTTTCTCTTTCCTTTCTCTTTCTTTTTTATTTCCTTTCTCTTTCCTTTCTCTTTCCTTTCTCTTTCCCTTCTCTTTCCTTTCTCTTTCCCTTCTCTTTTCTTTCTCTTTCCTTTCTCTTTCCTTTCTCTTTCCTTTCTCTTTCCTTTCTCTTTCTTTTTTATTTCCTTTCTCTTTCTTTTCTCTTTCTTTTCTCTTTCCTTTCTCTTTCCTTTCTCTTTCCCTTCTCTTTCCTTTCTCTTTCCCTTCTCTTTCCTTTCTCTTTCCCTTCTCTTTTCTTTCTCTTTCCTTTCTCTTTCCTTTCTCTTTCCCTTCTCTTTCCCTTCTCTTTCCTTTCTCTTTCCTTTCTCTTCCCCTTCTCTTCCCTTTCTCTTTCCCTTCTCTTTTCTTTCTCTTTCCTTTCTCTTTCCCTTCTCTTTTCTTTCTCTTTCCTTTCTCTTCCCCTTCTCTTCCCTTTCTCTTTCCCTTCTCTTTTCTTTCTCTTTCCTTTCTCTTTCCTTTCTCTTTCCCTTCTCTTTCCCTTCTCTTTCCTTTCTCTTTCCTTTCTCTTTCTTTTTTTCCTTTCTCTTTCTCTTTCCTTTCTCTTTCCTTTCTCTTTCCCTTCTCTTTCCTTTCTCTTTCCCTTCTCTTTTCTTTCTCTTTCCTTTCTCTTTCCTTTCTCTTTCCCTTCTCTTTCCTTTCTCTTTCCCTTCTCTTTCCTTTCTCTTTCCTTTCTCTTTCCTTTCTCTTCCCCTTCTCTTCCCTTTCTCTTTCCCTTCTCTTTCTTTTTTATTTCCTTTCTCTTCCCCTTCTCTTTCCTTTCTCTTTCCTTTCTCTTTCTTTTTTATTTCCTTTCTCTTTCTTTTCTCTTTCTTTTCTCTTTCCTTTCTCTTTCCTTTCTCTTTCCCTTCTCTTTCCTTTCTCTTTCCCTTCTCTTTCCTTTCTCTTTCCCTTCTCTTTTCTTTCTCTTTCCTTTCTCTTTCCTTTCTCTTTCCCTTCTCTTTCCCTTCTCTTTCCTTTCTCTTTCCTTTCTCTTCCCCTTCTCTTCCCTTTCTCTTTCCCTTCTCTTTTCTTTCTCTTTCCTTTCTCTTTCCCTTCTCTTTTCTTTCTCTTTCCTTTCTCTTTCCTTTCTCTTTTCTTTCTCTTTCCTTTCTCTTCCCTTCTCTTTCCTTTCTCTTTCCCTTCTCTTTTCTTTCTCTTTCCTTTCTCTTTCCCTTCTCTTTCCCTTCTCTTTCCTTTCTCTTCCCCTTCTCTTCCCTTTCTCTTTCCCTTCTCTTTTCTTTCTCTTTCCTTTCTCTTTCTTTTCTCTTTCTTTTCTCTTTCCTTTCTCTTTCCTTTCTCTTTCCCTTCTCTTTCCTTTCTCTTTCCCTTCTCTTTTCTTTCTCTTTCCTTTCTCTTTCTTTTCTCTTTCCTTTCTCTTCCCCTTCTCTTCCCTTTCTCTTTCCCTTCTCTTTCCTTTCTCTTTCCTTTCTCTTTGTCTGTCTGATCTCAGCTAAAGAAAAGCTATCTACTTAATACTTTAAATACTTAGGTAATACATCAGGTAAACCAAATTTTTCAATTTTCCTTTCTCTTTCCTTTCTCTTTCTTTTCTCTTTCCTTTCTCTTTCCTTTCTCTTCCCCTTCTCTTCCCTTTCTCTTTCCTTTCTCTTTTCCTTCTCTTTCCTTTCTCTTTCTCTGTCTGATCTCAGCTAAAGAAAAGCTATCTACTTAATACTTTAAATACTTAGGTAATACCTCAGGTAAACCAATTTTTTCAATTTTCCTTTCTCTTTCCTTTCTCTTTCCTTTCTCTTTCTTTTCTCTTTCCTTTCCCTTTCCTTTCTCTTTCCTTTCTCTTTCCTTTCTCTTTTCCTTTCTCTTTCTCTGTCTGATCTCAGCTAATGAAAAGCTATCTACTTAATACTTTAAATACTTAGGTAATACCTCAGGTAAACCAATTTTTTCAATTTTCCTTTCTCTTTCCTTTCTCTTTCCTTTCTCTTTCTTTTCTCTTTCCTTTCTCTTTCCTTTCCCTTTCCTTTCTCTTTCCTTTCTCTTTCCTTTCTCTTTTCCTTTCTCTTTCTCTGTCTGATCTCAGCTAATGAAAAGCTATCTACTTAATACTTTAAATACTTAGGTAATACCTCAGGTAAACCAATTTTTTCAATTTTCCTTTCTCTTTCCTTTCTCTTTCTTTTTTATTTCCTTTCTCTTTCTTTTCTCTTTCTTTTCTCTTTCCTTTCTCTTTCCTTTCTCTTTCCCTTCTCTTTCCTTTCTCTTTCCCTTCTCTTTCCTTTCTCTTTCCCTTCTCTTTTCTTTCTCTTTCCTTTCTCTTTCCTTTCTCTTTCCCTTCTCTTTCCCTTCTCTTTCCTTTCTCTTTCCTTTCTCTTCCCCTTCTCTTCCCTTTCTCTTTCCCTTCTCTTTTCTTTCTCTTTCCTTTCTCTTTCCCTTCTCTTTTCTTTCTCTTTCCTTTCTCTTCCCCTTCTCTTCCCTTTCTCTTTCCCTTCTCTTTTCTTTCTCTTTCCTTTCTCTTTCCTTTCTCTTCCCCTTCTCTTCCCTTTCTCTTTCCCTTCTCTTTTCTTTCTCTTTCCTTTCTCTTTCCCTTCTCTTTTCTTTCTCTTTCCTTTCTCTTCCCCTTCTCTTCCCTTTCTCTTTCCCTTCTCTTTTCTTTCTCTTTCCTTTCTCTTCCCCTTCTCTTCCCTTTCTCTTTCCCTTCTCTTTTCTTTCTCTTTCCTTTCTCTTTCCCTTCTCTTTTCTTTCTCTTTCCTTTCTCTTTCCTTTCTCTTTCCTTTCTCTTTCCTTTCTCTTTCCCTTCTCTTTCCTTTCTCTTTCCCTTCTCTTTTCTTTCTCTTTCCTTTCTCTTTCCTTTCTCTTCCCCTTCTCTTCCCTTTCTCTTTCCCTTCTCTTTTCTTTCTCTTTCCCTTCTCTTTCCTTTCTCTTTCCCTTCTCTTTCCTTTCTCTTTCCTTTCTCTTTCCTTTCTCTTTCCCTTCTCTTTCCTTTCTCTTTCCCTTCTCTTTTCTTTCTCTTTCCTTTCTCTTTCTTTTCTCTTTCCTTTCTCTTCCCCTTCTCTTCCCTTTCTCTTTCCCTTCTCTTTCCTTTCTCTTTCCTTTCTCTTTGTCTGTCTGATCTCAGCTAAAGAAAAGCTATCTACTTAATACTTTAAATACTTAGGTAATACATCAGGTAAACCAAATTTTTCAATTTTCCTTTCTCTTTCCTTTCTCTTTCCTTTCTCTTTCCTTTCTCTTCCCCTTCTCTTCCCTTTCTCTTTCCTTTCTCTTTCTTTTTTATTTCCTTTCTCTTTCTTTTCTCTTTCTTTTCTCTTTCCTTTCTCTTTCCCTTCTCTTTCCTTTCTCTTCCCCTTCTCTTCCCTTTCTCTTTCCCTTCTCTTTTCTTTCTCTTTCCTTTCTCTTTCTTTTCTCTTTCTTTTCTCTTTCCTTTCTCTTTCCTTTCTCTTTCCCTTCTCTTTCCTTTCTCTTTCCCTTCTCTTTTCTTTCTCTTTCCTTTCTCTTTCCTTTCTCTTTCCTTTCTCTTTCCCTTCTCTTTCCTTTCTCTTCCCCTTCTCTTCCCTTTCTCTTTCCCTTCTCTTTTCTTTCTCTTTCCTTTCTCTTTCTTTTCTCTTTCTTTTCTCTTTCCTTTCTCTTTCCTTTCTCTTTCCCTTCTCTTTCCTTTCTCTTTCCCTTCTCTTTTCTTTCTCTTTCCTTTCTCTTTCCTTTCTCTTTCCTTTCTCTTCCCCTTCTCTTCCCTTTCTCTTTCCTTTCTCTTTTCCTTCTCTTTCCTTTCTCTTTCTCTGTCTGATCTCAGCTAAAGAAAAGCTATCTACTTAATACTTTAAATACTTAGGTAATACATCAGGTAAACCAATTTTTTCAATGTGATCAGTAACATTACAAAAAATAGTGGAAGTGGACTTGCCAAAGTATATTGAAAGGATTTGATGCAGTGCGAAATAAAATATCAATATAAAAAAACATTTAAAGTGCGGGTTCATAGAAAATCACAAATATGGCAAATAGCATATTACTAGAAACTGGTAAGCTAACAGATGGCCATCATGCAAGTTTTAGGTCAACTACATATCAGTGATTTATAAAAATACAAATAAAACAACCTCCGTAGCATCTGGGATATGCGAGAGATTCGCCGGGAAAATAACGATGTTTTAATGCCGTCACAATATGAACCAACCCTGCCCAAGCAGACGACATCCCATAGAGAATGAACACAATTGCAATGCTTTTATTTCTCAAATTATAATGAGTTTAGTGTATATAAATGTGATGGAATTTTATACCATTAAAAAAGGGATATGACCCCAATTCTGATAACTAAATTCTTTTGTTTGTAAATACACAGGATAGGGGTTAATGAACAATCAAAGAAGCCACACTTTCAAATTAAAAAACCTCCGGAATGATAGCATGGACGTCATTTGTTCCCTCTTGAAACGCCGAACATGCCGCGGTGTATGCAGCTGAAAATACAATGGCGTCTTATTTTGTTTACAAGCGACGGATTCCTTTTTTTATTTAAACCTTGCATTTTTCATCAAAATAACACCATGCATCGGGTTTAGAGTGAGGCAATAGATTAAAAATTTCGCCTGAGGTCATTGAAGTAAGAGAAATAAGTGAAGAAAAGATGACAAAACGGGCACTGAAATTGTGTGAGATGTCATGGGACACCGTCTGCTTGTGCACATCATGTTCAACATGTGACGTCATATCTTAGCAGCGACGGGGGAGCTTTGCAGGTGCTATGTCGGGGCTGTATCTAAGTGTTTTGTAATTGTTAATAATCATTATTTCTAATGTTTCCAAGCATTGGCTTTTGATAACCTTGGCCAATCAAAGTGTCACCTTTGCAATAATGACATTAAAGTTAGTATTTTAAATCAATGAACCTTCTCTTTAAAAAACAGAATAGACACATTGTTGATGACTCATAAGGGTATAATTCCAATATCTTCCTATCCCTATTATACTATAATGCAGATATTTACCTGTGCTTGTGATGATAATTGCTTTTGTTTAGCTTCATTATCCAGTTGTACTAAAAATATAAGAGAAATAAAAGACAAAGAGGGAGTTTTTTCAAGAAATTGAATGGCAACATACACTTCAAAGTTGCTTGTTAAAGAGTTTTCAAAAATAATGTTTAACAAAACAGAACTCATTGTGTACATCGATCTCTAAAAGAGCCCCAATCACACCACCCCCCCCCCCCCCCCGATTGTTAATTACTGATTTGATTATAGGGCAATCTTCTAGCCTTTGTAATAAGTTCATTATAGGAAGGAAGAAAAATAAAAGAAACAGAATGGCAAAAGTTTGAAATATATCAGACCAATGAAATAAGGGAGTTATGAATGTTTGAAATATGAGAACACTAAATGTATACAAATCTTATATTGGCCAGTAGATTGTGACATAATAATGGATGACTCTCCCATTTGTCATGTACAAAAATATCATTAAGGTCTGTTTTTCTCTTTAATGCCTTTTCCTTTGGGGTACTAACCAAAATATACTATGGATGGCACATTAGTATAGGTCCGCTAAAAAAAGAAATGACCCACCTGAGTCACATACTTTGAAAACTTGACATTTTAGTCATTTTGTTTGGCACTAAATCAACGCCTATATCAAGTAACCCCCTAATCAGTCAGTACCATACCTTGTGCTTTGATTGAAGCTGAAGCCGCAGAGCGTGGTCTACATGCACCAGGACCAGGATCCAGTCTAGTTAGTGCTGCTTGGCCAGCCATCTGAGAGCTACAACTAGGCTCCAGTCGTGGTGCTACTGGTCTGGGCTGACCAGATGTGCTAATGGTAATTAGAAAAGAAAACATACAAATTAATCTAAAGTATATAGGGTAGCGCGCCCGGTATTCGGTCCATTCCCAGTATTCGGTCAGACAGCCGTTTAAACAGCTGTAGCAATTTAAAAAATAATTTATGAGCCACGAAACTTGCACAAATCAGGCAGCTGAACAACTTTTCGAAAGAGAAGGTTGAGTTCTGGGAAGAGGTAAAAAATAATTTGTGAGCGTTATCATTGTTATTATGCAAGGGTGGAAGAACATTAGATTAAACATGTTCCCTGAAAACTGAAAAGCATGGCTCTTCAAATGCCTTCATATTCTAAATATGACATGAAACATCGTAAAAATCTGGGGTAGGTTTTTTTCGCCATGTGCTTGTGTAGTCCCATATACATTATTCTGTGTACAGTGCTTGTAACTTTGCCAAGATTTGGCCAAATTTCTTATCATTTTGATGATTCCAGAACCTTACAATACACACAAATACTTATATACTAGATGATCAACCTTTTCTGATAGATTCCACACCGTTTCTTTCACAATGCAATCACATGACCAGAACTCAACTTTATCTTTAACTCTCAAAATTAAATCAGATATAGGGCCCCGGAAAGATCTCCAACTTAGCTCGAAATTGGTCAGTGTCGCACAACTTTCTGCGCTTCATGCGCTAACATGCAAAGCCATATGTAGAAGCCTATTGCAAAACAACTACGTGTGCTGTTGCAATGAATTTAGTATGGGTGTGAAGAGGAGCTCTTCCGTGTTCGCTCCATCGCAGCGAATTTGCAAATGATGCACTTGCCGATGTGCAACAGGTATTTATACGATACCCTTGCCAAGCGGTAGCGCTCGTCCAGTATTCGGTCAATGCATTGACATTCAGTGCTTTGTTGCGCAATTGTGTGAAAATAGTGCGCAAATACGCTTCGCCCCTTGGCAACGAAGATACCACGCACAAATCGCGTGACCGAATTCTATTCGGCACGACCAAATTCTGGGCAGAAAAATGCTCGGTCTTTCAGAAATATTTTGCTTATCATCATTCTTTATTTTAAGTGACTATAAAATCCTGTATGAGGAATATTTTTCTTTTCTTTTGATGGGTAGATTGCCAAATAAAAAGAGGTAAGAATTCAAAATATTAGCGATTTCCCCTTAAGTGACCGAATACCGGGCGCTCTACCCTACTATAAACAACAAGACAGTTTGGTCTGAATTCACAGGTTTAGGGCTGTCAACTTTGGGAAACTGAACTATTTTTTTTTTTGCCGTGAATCACGTGAGAAAGTGTATATCATAAGTCTTCGTTTTTAGGAAAAATACTCCAAAAAAAGAAAAGAAAATTGACATGAAACAGGTAAGAAAGATAACAACTTTTAAAGGTAAAGACCAGTATTGGAAACGCCTCAATTTCAGTAAAATGAAATGGAAGCTCTTATCATGTGAAAGAATATGTTTTGACTAATACACGATGATGACAATTTTGCCCGGAAACCGCCTACTAATTGATTTATTTGCTAAATCAGTTTATCTATTGGAGTGTGATAGATTAAACGCATGTGTCGCGCACATGTGCGTAGTCCCATAGGTCCATACATCTCTCTGTGTAAGGTGCTTGTAACTTTACTAAGTCCGAAACTAGACTGGGCCAAATTTCTTATCATTTTGATGATTCCAGAACCTTGCAGTGCAGTACACACCAACACTTATATGCTAGATGATCAACCTTTTCTGATCGATTCCACAACGTTTCTTTCACAATGCAATCACATGACCAGAACTGATCTTTATCTTTAAATCATGGCCATCAGTCATTAATTTTTATTTGAACAATTGATGAAGATTTATGTCTAGATCTAGATCTAGTCGATTTTCGGTATGTTTTAGTAGGGCATCTCCACGCCGGAGTTCCAAGTCAAAGTCTGGATAGAATTCTGAACTGTCAAATATCGACGTAGAAGTAGAACCAAAGTGGAAGTTGACTAACTTCCACTAAGTGTAGGCTACCAGACGGTTATTTCCGTCGAAGAAAACTGATCAGCCCCACAAGTGTCAAACCGTGTTTGCCTCGAATATGTCGAATTAAATACAATTAATTATTAGATAGCCTACATACCTGGACTGTGGTGTGCTTTCATTCAACTTCACTCCGTGACCAGCTTGCTTAAATTTCATATCAGTCTTCTTTTTCTCGAAGAATGCCCCGATCTTCTTCATTTTGTACAATCTTTAGGCAGCGAAGTTTAGGATTCGGACTTGATATGCGATAAATTTGATCTTCAATAATAAACAGCGCCACCATGCATTGGGTCTGAATAGTGAAAAGTAACTGAAAATGATTTATCTCTTCTATATTTGTTTCGGACATGACAAGAATATGTTCACTTGCGAAGATGAAGGATGAACAATGGGAAAATATCACTAACATTAATGAATGGATACTAAATTGATAGAGTATTGATAGGGTCTATATTCATTTAATCAAATTTATCACCATCATCATGATTATTATTATTATTATCATTATTATTATTATTATTATCATTATACTAGCTATACTACTCAGGCGCGGATCCAGGATTTCTCAGGGGAGGGGGCCCAATTTGTTATTTTTTTTTTGCTCCCGAAAATTCGCTCAGTGGGGGGGGGGGGGGGGGTAAGCTAGTGAGCACTAGTGTTTTTTGTTTTGTTTTGTTTTTTTGCTCCCAAAAATTTGAAAATCGCGCCGGCCGAAAAGTCGCTCAGTGGGGGGGGGGGGGGGGGGGGGGGGGGGGGTAGTGAGCACAATTTTTTTTTTTGGTCCTCGAAAATTTGCACCCCCAAAAAAGCAAAAAAGCACTTTTTTTTACATGATTTTTTTTCCCAGGGGGGGGGGGTCGGGCCCCCCGGTTCCCCCCCCCTGGATCCGCCACTGATACTACTACTACTTTCACATATAAACAATGACAGACAATAATAAACGTAATGATATAACCGAAAATTAGCATTGAAATAGCTTTGATATTGCTCTTTAGTCTTGTAATGCAAAATTATTTGGTTACAGGAAATTAAAAGTCGAAAATAATTGAAAGCAATGATTATCATCATCATCCTCATCATCATAAACATTAGACCTACATTTATCATTATAGGTATATCAATTTCAATTCAAATCAAGTTTATTTCCACAATCTGATAAAAATACAAAACAATCAAAAGACAAACAATAATACAACATAAATATAACATTACAGATAATGGTCGGATCGACAATAGGCCTAAGGGCCTTTCTATGGTCAATCCCTTTAGTACATGGAAGTCAAATTTAACAAAAACATGAATTAAGTCACTAACAATACAACAACAGCAACTGCAATAAAACAAAAAAAGGGTGGGGGAAAAGGAAAGATTGTGACTATCATTTTACACTTATTTTATATCTACATGAAAAGAAAATCATTACTATATGATAATTATTATTCTTGTAATATTGATATAGCACTTCAACAGGGATTGTTTTTCACTATCATAACGGTCTTCTGGGTTCGATACCCCCCATTTTCTTCACATATGGAAACGTTTGCTTGGATTTGTCTCATAAAAGAAGTTGACCACAAACTGACTCCCATACGGTGTTGAGTGCTCAGGGGTCCCGGGCCACTGGCTTCATCGGGCAGGTAGTTCCATTATGTGAATTGGTAAATTAACTATTACAAAATGAGGGGAAACATTACATTGTACAATAGGGACACACATTGTTTTCACTGTGCAGAACATACTCTTTTATTGACTTACTTATTGAATGAAACTATAAAACCAAAATGCATTTTGTATTCTAACAATTGGAGTACAAAGAATAGTAACAGGTGAATGAAATGCATAAACACCACAAACACCTGGGAAGGAAGCATTCATACATTTGAATACATATAGTTGATAAACGACTCCGCATGAAACTATAAAACCAAAATGTTATTTGCGTTCTGGCAATTGGAGAACAAAGAATGATAGCGGGTGAATAAAATGCTTCAACAACACAAACACCTGGGAAGGAAACATCCATAAATTTGACTTACTTATTGAATGAAACTATAAAACCAAAATGCATTTTGTATTCTAACAATTGGAGTACAAAGAATAGTAACAGGTGAATGAAATGCATAAACACCACAAACACCTGGGAAGGAAGCATTCATACATTTGAATACATATAGTTGATAAACGACTCCGCATGAAACTATAAAACCAAAATGTTATTTGCGTTCTGGCAATTGGAGAACAAAGAATGATAGCGGGTGAATAAAATGCTTCAACAACACAAACACCTGGGAAGGAAACATCCATAAATTTGAATATTTAGTTGATAAACAACTCCGCATGTGGACGTTTGGTGGAGCAGAAAGCAGTGGATTCTTAACAACACGAACCCATTTAACAGTTGTCGGAACGTAAATTAAATTTGGCGCGGTTGGAAAATGCATCTTTCTACCCTGCGACTTTAATGGTACGATCCAGTAAATTAAAACAGTAGAATGGCTCTTATTTTAAAATTACTCATTAAATAAAACCAAAACTTAAATGATATCAGACAAAATATGATATATCTTACTAATAATTAAAAAAAAGATGTATAAACATTGTGAAAGTGTAGCATTATACGATAAAAGACACCGATTTAGCGAAAATGACGTCATTAGAACCTGTTTATGTGCGCTTGCATCAGGGAATCCAAGGTCAACAGTTCAATTCAGACGCTGATAAGTTATTGGTCAAGCCTTTTTGTTTCCTTTATTCCAACAAAATTATACAATCAATCAAAACAAGTTTAATATCAGAAGAAAGCTAACGATAAGTATTTTCATTAACCGTTTGCCCCAAAGTCGCTTGACCACAGTGAAACGAGTGAGAGCTTGCGAGAGCGGCCAAAGTGTGATTGAAACTAGGTATTTGCTCTTCTCCATCGCAAAAAGAGACGACATTGTGCTGGATAAATATATTTTTCCGACAAAAGTACAGAAAATTTGCATATGATCTTTTTATATTATACTTTATGAAATGTTACCCGGGTGACTTCCGGGCAACCCAATGCTGGAAAGAAACGCACATTTGAGAAAACTTCACTTTTTCGTGGAAAAAATGCTTATTTGTTCTATGCACGCAAGTCAGATTGAGCGGATGATACAACGTTTCCATAATGCTCTCTCTCTCTCTCTCTCTCTCTCTCTCTCTCTTATGCTCTTCACGTGTTTTTATCATCAATCCCTTTTACTCATCATCTTCATCTCGCAGGGATTGCACCCTAGATCATAACAGTCGAGCAGCCATCGCCTAGTATTCACATTGAGGTAGCATTGTTATATTCTATCAAATAACAAAATACGGACGCATTACAAATAAATGAAATTAAAAAAGATATATCAATCTGAACATTTTATTTAATCAAAATATTGCAAATAAATGAATTACGATATATACATACAAATCAATGGTTGTTTGTATAAATATTAAAAGCTGACTCACTATAAAAGGATTAGATTAGAACAGTTTTCAGACAAATAAAGGATAACAGTGCATTCTGTCCAATGACATGATTCCTGATATTTAAACCTGTGCATTCTCTTTTGTTTTCGTTAAAGAAACATTTAGGGGCAGGCATATAATATGTTTATTCTTGTTCTTGTTCTTGTCTTCATCATCATCATCATCATCATCATCATCATCATCATCATCATCATCATCATCATTAAGCGCTATGGTACTTATTGTTTTTAGCGCTCCTAAATATTCGATATTATTATTATTATTATTATTATCATCATCACCATCGTCGTCATCTTCTTCTTCTTCTTCTTCTTTTGCTCGTTCTTCTGTTCTTCTTCTTATCCCTCTCCTTTCTTTCTACCTTTCTTTCTTTCTTTTTTTTTCCTTTTTCCTTTTTTTTTTACTCAGAAAAAGTAGGCGACATAAAAGTTCGTAACAGGCAAGAAAAAATAAAATTATTCACCATACAAACATACATCTTTTAAAAAGTCCACAAAGTTATTGAAAATTGAATACGCAACAGAAATCTATAAAAAGAGAAACAAGTTTAGCAAAAATAAAGGAAAATTAGTAAAAACATGTTGTTTAGTTTAAAGTGGAAGTTTAACAAAAGTTGGAAGAGGGGAAGTGAAAATATGTCTACGGCGAAAAAACGATAGAGAGAGAGAGACAGAGAGAGTCAGAGAGACAGAGAGACAGAGAGAGAGAGAGAGAGATGAGACAAAGTGAGACAGACAGAATTATACAGACAGAGATAGAGAGAGCGTGTAAGCATTATACAGAAATGGTGGCATACTAAATTAGTGTCTAATAAAGATGGTCAATAACGAACTGATATTCGATATAAGTTTAATGACGAGTTTGTAGACGAGGGAAGATAATATTCCAAAATTGACACTCCCGGCGTTTTACGGACGGGTCGTCTGTCATCTCTGGTGATAGGTTCTTCGAGAGGGCTGTTGTGTTCGGATCGTAGAGCGGCCAGTCAGGGAGGTCTTTTACGAGCCATGGGCTGTCTTCATTTTGGTTTGGGTCTCTATAAGAGAGTAAAGATAATTATATTTAGAAATACACAGCGCGAAAAATTTAGTCAAGAAAATACTGACGTAAAAGCCAGTACAAAGTCTACACTAGGGAGCATATAACCGTTTGTCAAATCTAGTGGCGTCGTGTGGGTCTAGCCATGCAGTGATCGAGGGGGGTACTGACATAGATGGGTGCACCAGTCTGTCGATGGAAGAAAAGCAAAGTTACAAAGCCACTGATTAGGAGGTGGGATATGGTCCTATCTTGCTTTCACGCCCCTTTTCTACTTCTTTCTCTCTTTCTTCCTAATTTATTTGTATACTTACTTGCTTGCTTGCTTGCTTGGTATACTTGGTAGATTAGCCCTCTTTTCCTAAGGGAAGGGCTCTCAGTTGACTTTTAAAAGTCGCCACTGTAGGTGCAGACACTACATTTTCTGGTAGGTTGTTCCAAGGTTGGACCACTCTGTTAGTATAAAAGTGGCCAGTCAGTTGAGTTCTGGAACGTCTTTGGAACACTTTTCTAGAATGCCCTCTTAATTCCTTATTTGGGTGGGAGAAGAATCTTTGTGCTGGAGTTGTGTAATAGCCATTAAGGTATTTGTACAAATTGATAAGGTCTGTTCTTGCTCTTCTCTCCTTCAATGTCTCAATAGGAATTTCCTTGTTACCAAGACGTAGGCATTTGGTCTGCACCTTCTCTAACTTCTCAATATTCTTCTTTGTAAGTGGGCTCCAAGCAGATGATGCATATTCCAGCGCTGGACGAATTATGGATTGGTACAAAATGGTGATTTTCCTTTCATCCAGTGCAGTGAAACAGCGTCGGAACATTGCAATCTTACAGCGAGCCTTTTTAACTATTTCATCAACATGTTCGTTAGGGGTGAGGGTATTGCTAATTATAACTCCCAAGTCCTTTTGGTTTGTCACTTCCTGCAGATGAACACCATTGATAGAATAATTGTAGTTAATAGCTGCTCGGATGCGCAGGACAACACATTTTTTCAGCATTGAATTCAAGTAGCCATAGTTTAGACCATGCAGCGAGTGCATTTAAGTCTCTCTGTAGTATGTCACAATCATCTTTCGATGTTATTTGGCGGTAAATCTTGGTATCATCAGCAAACATCTTAGCAGTAGTGAGAACCATATCGGGAATGTCATTTACGAAGATTAGAAAGAGGAGCGGCCCGAGAATAGACCCTTGCGGCACGCCGCTTGTCACCGACCTCCATCTTGAGGTGCCGTTCCTTAGCACTACTCTTTGTCTGCGTCCAGTTAGGAACCCCTCAATCCAATTAAGAATATGTCCACGGATACCATTGTGCTTGAGCTTGTATAACAGTCGACGATGGGGGACGGTATCGAATGCCTTTCGAAAATCAAGGTATATGACATCCATTCCTTTCGCTTCATCGTATGCTTTCGTCCAGTCATAAAGACATTCTAAGAGTTGTGTCACACATGAACACTTCTTCTGGAAGCCGTGCTGGTGACATGAAATCATATCATTGTCTACTGCATGTTCCATCAGTTTGTCGTAGATAATTCTCTCAAGAAGCTTTACCACTTGACTGGTAAGGGAGACTGGTCTATAGTTGTTTGGAGACAACCTGGATCCCTTCTTGAAGAGTGGAGTGATATTTGCGTCCTTCCATTCTTGGGGTATCTGTCCGGTTTGGATAGATTGATCAAATAAAATACCAAGAGGTACATCCAAATCAGGAACATTCCTTAGCACGTTTACATGTATCCCATCAGGACCACAGGCCTTGTTGATGTGAAGCTTGGAAAGCTTTTCTCTAACTCTGGAAGGGGAAATCTCAATGTCATATACAATGTTGTCGTGTGATATCTCGGGAAGAGGTAGATTGAGATTAAGTTCAAGTGGTTCAGGTTTCAGTACACTTGCAAAAAACTCGTTCAGAATCTCTGCTTTGTTCTGGTCATCTGTTATCTTTACTCCATCGTGTTCAAGAACCTCAATTGTAGCAGAAGATCTAGAGAAGTGCCTCGCATAGTTATAAAACTTCTTTGGTTCAGTTTTAATCTGGTTGATAAGAGACGATTCATAGTCTACTTTGGCTCGGCGTATTACTTCCTCAGTATGAAGTTTCTTTTGAAGATACTGTTCCTTATGGGCGTTAAGTCCAGTCTTCCTTGCTTGAACAGCTGCTCCCCTCCTGGATTTCTTTGCTCTTCTGACTGATCTGAAGTTAATCCAAGGAGGTTTGTGGCGTTGACCCGACTTCACAGTTTTAATCGGAATGTATTTGTCAATCCATTCACTATACTTGGATTTGAGTAACTCCCATCTTTCGTTCATACTCCTAGATGCAAATTCCTTCACCCAGTCAACAGCTTTAACTTCGTTGGATAATGCCGAGTAGTCTCCTTGGAGTACAAATAAATCTTGCGTTCTGTCAATGCAATACGAGGTACAGGTATCCTTAGTTCCAATAGCACACTATTGTGATCACTAGATCCTAATTTGTCTCCAACAGTAACAGAGTGAACGATATCTAGGTTTCCGGTAAAAGCTAGGTCGAGGATATTTTGACCTCTAGTTGGATCCTTCACTAACTGGAACAGCATGTTCTCCTCAATACATGAAAGGAATTTCCGAGAAAGGGCAGTATGCGCTTCTCCTTTATCCCAATCGATGTCTCTAAAGTTAAAGTCTCCGAGTAATATCACATTGTCTGTGTCGATTCTTGAAATTGAATTACAGACTTTCTCCAAGTACGGTTCACCACCACGCTCAGGCCTGTAAACTACTCCTCCAATCAATAATTCTGTCTTTGGGTTTGGATGCGCTGTGCACCAAACCACTTCCGCATCAGTATCTCCTCTCTGATATGGTGTGGGATTTAAGTTCCTTCTCACAAGAAGTAGTGCCCCTCCTCTTCCAACCTCTGTGTAGGTACCTTCATTGTAAAAATCAAGGCTGCGGTCTTGGCGAAAACATACATAGTCCTCAGGTGTGAATTCATTACTGCTCACTGAATTATCTAACCATGTTTCTGTTATGGCGCAGATGTCAATGTCATTTTCATATAAGAAATCTTGAAGTTCAATATATTGTTCTTAATGCTAAAAGCGTTCATGTGTACAACCTTGAGTGGATTGAATTCTTTTCCTTTACGAATTTGTGATGTGCTTGTGCTTGTGCAGTAAGTGCGGTTCGATCCATCCTGGGGAGTAGTACATGTACTTCCATGTTCTCCTTCGAAAATAAAGGTGTTGTCGGTGCTTGGGTGCGGTGCAGATTCCTTCTTCTTACTAACTAACTCCTTTCCCCTGAACTTCCTACTCTGTCTGGTGGAAGATCTCTCGAGGTGGTACCTGAGTCTTTAAGAAGAGCTTTTTTCCCCTTATTATCCAGTTTGGGTCACTTATCCTTTTCCTACGTAGCTCCTCACGCAACTTGAAGTCCTCTTCTCGCTGTAGAATAGTCATATCTGGACTTATGAAGACCTTGGAAGGGTTAAAGCTAACCCCTTCAGGATTAACTCTTCTTACTTTAGGACCACCTCTCAACAGAAGCTTCTTATCCTCTTCATTCTCAAGTACAACCTTAATTGGGCGTGGCTTTCCATCTAGCTTCTTTTTACCTAATCTATGAACAGACTTTGGAGTTACATTGATATCCATACTGTTGAAGAGCTGGTCACAAATTTCTTCATTTGACATGTCCACTGTATCATCTAGCTCTATATCCTTATCTTGGTGCCGTGCATCGTCTGCGATAGATTTCCTGCATTCAGGTAATCCCTTGATTAGGATATTTTTCTTTCTTTTTTCAATCTCTTCAGGTTCTTTATGCATCAACTCGATCCTATCAGATAGTTTGACTATGTCTGCATTTACACCTTCAACTACCTTCTGTGTAGCCATCACATCAGCAGATAATTTTTCCATTGATGTTTTGTCTGCTTTCTGGTCTAAATTGCTCTGCATGTCATCAAACTTTTTGTTAAGCGTAGCCAGATATGCTGCACATTTCTCCTCTATCTCCCAATCTGTTTTGATAGCAGACATGGCTTGTCTGTCACATGCTGTACAATACCAATGGACATCTACTCTGCTTGTAAGTACCTCGTACATTTCAGTATCCATATCTAAACATTTAATGCATGTGGGACCATCACATCTTTCACACTTCATAAGCTTGTCGTCATCACTGCAAAAATCTAAGTTACAAACTTTGCAACGCCATACCTCAATTTCCAGTGAACTGCCAGTCACCCCAGGCCCAGTGCCTCTATCAGTATCACCTGTAGCCAATTCTTGCTGAGGTGCAATTTTTTCTCCTGTTTATCCTTCTTTTTTGGCCTCCCTCTTTTCTTCCTTTCATTGGTGGTCTGAAAAAAGGTTTGCTCCGTAGAATTTGCAGAGTGTACCACGTTGCTGCCGGTTGAAGTAGGCTGGCTGCCATTTTGAATGACGTCACTGTCCATGCTGTTGTGTACTGTAGCAGTACCGTACAAGCTACACTACAGGCATTACCTCCAGCACACGTTTTAATGAAAGTAATTTCCCCAAATTCAAGTTACCAGACCAAAATAAAGATTCTCTCCACCCTCAAAGATCTACCAAAACACAAAATCTTACTACTAATCAAGAAGATTTTGGAAAAATCGGACCCTCCTTTTTTTTTTTTTTTGTCGGTGACATTCGAACAGGGGAGGGGTGTCCCCTGTATCTAAACCTCTGCTCATAATCTAGTCGTCTAGTATATCTTTCTGCTACTTTCAAGAAAACATTCAAAAATAATGATATAGTTACAGGGCCGTGTGTGATTACGATTGTACGAGTGGTGTAAATAATTTTACGCCGGGTAAAAAACGGTACTGGATAAATTAAAAAAGCTAAAGTAATACACACCTGACTACTACCCCTGGCATGTGGAGAAACTTTCATACTTTTCGAATGCTTTTACCGTAAACATTAAACATTTACTAAAATGATAATAACGATAAATGGCTTATAAAGATTGTGAGAGCGCATTGACTTATATCTTTAAACAGGAGTGTCAAACATCTTTTTACCCTGAAGATGCAAAGTTTGTCCAATACTGGATGATGCGTGACGTCATTTTAACTTCTTCTGGTGTAAGGGTCCAGTTGAGATGGGGTAAGAAGTGTACCCCGAAGACAAAGAGGAGATTCTCGCCATGATTAGCTCGCGTCCATGTTAAAGGACGCCAAAACGACTCACTAGGTCTGTAGAAAGAAAAACATATTGAATTGGCTCAAATTTTTGAATGATTACGGGCATGACAGTCTCGCTTTCCTAAACGCTATTCTCGGGGTTCATGAGACCGACAATTGTGGTCTCATGGGCTGTCCATTAATTGGGATGCCCATGTAAAAAAAAATCCTCGAAAAACACCTCAAGATCAGGTGGAGAATAATTCGCGAGGGAGGGCTTTGCGGTCCTGGAATCATAATAATCATGTTTCGCAATTAAATTCATTCATAGTAAAGATTTTTGTTTGGTTGCCCCTCCCCCTTCACTTTAGAACCGCAAATAATCAACGTATTTTCCGATGTATCTATTCATATCAATTCCTTTACCTGTGAGTCATGTGATACCGATAAACTTCCAAACCCGCTTCCGAAGCGAAATCAGCAACAGCAGCTGTAGGACAGAACATCGTCATATCCCCTACAATGTCATTGAGCTTATCAAAGAAGTCTAAGTTCCCATCATCGTTCACATATCCGGTTTTACAGACATCTTTCTGTGTTCGATCACTGTACACCCTGTTCGTATGAGAAGACAGATCTTCATGTTCGTCAACATCGTACACCAGTTCGATCAGCTCTTGTAGGACGGGATCGTGCATGTTGAGAGCGGTCGACAGAAACCGGCGCAACTGTTGACGAGTGACAACGGGAGTCGTGGTCGCCTGCGGAAAGAGATGCATCATTGACATCATTCCCTCGTCGGCGTTGGCGCCGATGATGACGCTGACATTGTTGTACGAGCCCATTTCGCCGACGATGTCGGGTGTATCTGGGATGACTACGTGATCGACGATGGGGAGGAATGCGATGTCAGCGGGATCCCCTGTTTCAGCTAACACCTGTTGATTGCAACAAAATTATATGAACCATAGATTACGAAGAAGAACAAAAATCTTCATGTTTCCACGGCTTGATTAACATTTTATCGTACGTCTTGACAGGCTGACTAGATGAATCTCCGACCTTCTCTCAAATTGTGATGGTGCCAAAAAAAATACCGTCAAAAATGTAATGGAACGAAATTGCACGCATGAGCCATGCAAACTACTCCTTATAATTATATTCAACAACTTAAAGAATATTCTATTTGTGCGCTGCCGCTTCTAAATGATACTTCTCTTCTCCTCCTTCTTTCTTCTTCTTCTTTTGTTTCTTCTTTCCTTCTTCCTCTTAGTCTTCTTGATCTTCTTGTATCGTTCTGTTCTTGTTCTTCTTGTTCTTGTTCTTGTTGTTATCCCCATGCAGTTCCCACTTTCAACTAAGATAAGTTGGAACGAAAATGAAAAATGAAAAGTAGACTAACTTGTTGCTGCTGAGCAACAATTTCATCGGCGTGAACCTGCCCTAGACATTGCAAAAGTTGTGCAGACGATGAAACCTCGTCACATCCTACCAGTCGACCCAGCGTCAGAGCTCTGTCACGCGCTGTTGCTAGGTCAGGTGACCTTGCCCAAGATGATGTGGCTGCCCCACTCTTTATGAAGAGAGAAAAGGAATATGTGACAGCATTTCTATGTTCAAAGTAATTTATGTTTTAGACGATACATTGCACTTGCATTATAATCTTCACGAATTTTCAACCTCGTTTTCACTGCAATGTGACCGAATTATGATCTCCTTTAAAGTGATGGGAATAACATATAATTATTATAAGCACTTTCGTCGATTATCTGTTGAGCGCATAATAAGAAACAGTCGTCAAAATTGTCAAAATGTTTCAACAATTTACGATTTCGATGTTTTTCTGTCATTTATTCTAGACTGTGATAATAAGGTATTCAATATCTTTAGCTGACTCTTCGTGACTTTAATCTCTCGATCATTGGCCTTTATTACAAGTAAGGGACAAAAATAATTTACTCCTACTTTTCGCTTTAAGTCAGAAATTCTTGAGAGGGCTCAAGTAACATAAAAATTACAAGTACATCTATCTTTTTACAAATCCTCCAAATTACCAGGCATTTCTGTTGGTAAGTTCCGCTGGACAAAAATATTTTCTTTGTTTTCATGTTGATGACGTGAACCGAATGGGCAGGTCTAGAATTGGGGGAGAGGGGAACATAATTAATAAACTGTCAGTACTTCAGGTATATGCTACTTATATACCTGCATTATGGCACGGTGAAATAAACCAAACGACATTGGGGACATGAGATGAATGTGTATGCTTGCTGAACCCGCGCTATCGCCAAAGAGAGTCACTCGATCTGGGTCACCTCCAAATGCTATGTGAATAGATTGAAAAGAAAGAAAGAAAGAAAAAAACCTTATGATAATTAGCCCCTTATAGTGTAAGTCTTACAGGAAAAGGTTTTTATGAATAATACTGTATTGGTTTCAAGGCTTCAAAATCAATTACTGATCTATTCGAGATCGGTGGCAGGGTTGTTTAGGGGACGCAAGTTTTAAATTGTCCGCTATTAAAAGCAAAACCAAAAAGAAAATGAAGTTTCAAGCGTTTCCAAAATCCGTGACATGCAATAAGAAAAAAAAAAGAAAGAGGAAAACAATTGAAACGTCTAAAGGGAGAAGGCTACACTAAAAAGACGACAAAACAAACAAAAACATACCCCCCCAAAAAAAAAAAAAAAATAAATAAATAAAAAAAATAAAAAAAAATAATAATAATAATAATAATAATAAAAATTAAAAAAAAAAAAAAAAAAAAAATAAATAAATAAATAAATAAATAAAAAATTAAAAAAAACTATTCCCAAACCAATATCAATATTACCAAGTCTAGTACAAGGAAAAGTTACAAAGTCACTTTTAAAGTAACAATCCACGTGCGGCATGGCAATGTTTACAAACAATGACCGATACGCTCCGCGACGAGATCACTCATTCGGAATAGTGTCCTTTATAATAAAGGGACACTAGTTCGGAAATGTAAATGACCCCCTCAACGTTGCGAATGAAGCTTAATAAGTTCTACGGACGGTTCGACATCAACGACTTCAGTGACGCCATTGCGGCACAGACAGGTGAATTACTCCGTTGGCAAGATGATTCTGTTAAGATAGAGAAGAGAGATGTATACCTTCAATTCAGCAGAATTAACCCAAGGAAGGCATCCGGGTCAGCGGAAAGGTACTACGTTATAGTGCAAGAGAACTAACATCACCATTTTGCCCTATTGTGATGTTAAAGTAGAACCCTGCTGTTGGAAGTCATCCGTTGTTATTCCTGTGGCTAAAAAGCCCCGCCCATCCGAATTCAACGATTATCGACCATTGGCATTGACCTCAGTGACGATGAAGTGCTTTGAACGGATCGTACTAAAATGTCTACGCCCGCACGTTGTTCGTGGACCTCCCTCCTGCGCTCAACACTACTCAGCCCCATCGACTCATCGATAATAATGATAATAATATTAATACGCCTTGAAGTTAAATCATCTTTAATACTTTGGATAACCGACTTTCTTAAGAATCGAATCCAGTGCGCTCGCGTGCAGAATGTCGTAAGGAATACCCGCCCCCCCCCCCCACTCAATGTTATTTAGGGTACGCATATGCTCGTTCCCTCTTTTTGAAAGCACCCCCTATCTGAGGACTGCCAATATTTTCCTGCCTTGGAGACCCCCTAAATCAGGAAAAATGCTCAATGTACCCCCCTAAATTCGGAATAATTTCTCAGGAGTCCAAAGAGATGAGAGGAAAAAAAGAGAGAAAACACCCCCTTTTTAAAGAAATCTCGGGGTGAAAAGTCAAATACACCCCTTTTTTACAATTCTCGGGCCGGACTTTGTCGCACGAAAAGTACCCATTTACCGGACATTTTGGCAACACGCATGCGGTCATTCCGACCTCTGAGTGGGGGCGGGGGGCGGGAAGGAATATAGGCTCACCTACATGTTGTGTCCTCTCTGCAGGCGCGCCCGAAGCAGTTTGGGATTGGGGGGGGGGGGGCAACATTCCAGGGGGCTCACCTTCCAGGGGCAGTGGCGTAATGAGCAAAAACGTTTGGAGGGGGGGGGGGGCAGAAGAAAAATCTGTGTCACCACCACTCTTACACGTTACATGCAGGCCCCGCGGAACGTTTTTCAAAGTGGAGTATCAACGATCAAGTAAAGATTAAATTGGCGGGGCCTGAGCCCCGGTAGGGGGTCAAGGGGCTGACCCCCCGGAAGCTCAGAGTTTTTAGGCATTAAATTACGGTCAGATAAGCATATTTAGATACCTTATTTTTGACACTGGCAGGTCACTAATTGGCGGGGAGTCCAGGGGGCAGAGCCCCCGAAAGCTCAGGGTATTTAGGTATTTGATTACGGTTAGATGAGCACCCATGAGCACTCTTTAAGGTCATTAATGTAGTCCAGGGGGAAGAGCCCCCTGAAGCTCAGAGGTTTTAGATATTTAACTACGGTCAGATGAGCATCCAGGGGCCCGCCTTAGGGCCCTTGGTGGGGTCCAGGGGGCAGAGCCCCCGGAAGCTCAGGGGTTTTAGGTATTTAATGACGGTCAGATGAGCATCCAGTGGACCGCCTTAGGACCCTTGATGGGCTCCGGGGCAGAGCCCCCGTAAGCTCTGGAGTTTTAGGCATTGAATTACGGTCAGATGAGCATATTTTGATACCTCCTTTGTGACATTGGCAGGTCACTTATTATTTTTTTTTCTTCTTTTTCTTTCTCTGTAACAAACTTTTTCAAAAAAGTGAGGGGGGGGGGGGGCTCGAGCCCACGATCCCAGCCGTTCTGCAGGCCATGACAAGAAGGCTTCTAAAAAGCATTATATTTCGCCCGACTGTAAATTTGGGAATTCTAATTTTCCAACAAACGCATTAAAAGGTATGACTGACACAAAAATACCGGAAAATCATGTCATTTCAGCAACATTTTTAAATCACTGGTATCGAATAAGAAATGACCCCCCCCCCCCCCCCCCCCCATCAGTACGCGATAATTGCTCCGGTGACATTTGCTCCGCCGACAATTGCTCCGCCGACAATCAACAGTTGCTCCACCGACATTTGCTCCGCCTGAAGCGACACTTGATCGGTGACAATGTTGATGATAATAATAATAACTAGATTTGTAATACTTGTTTTGAACAAGTATAGGTGGGCTGGTCTAACTAAAATTTGAGACAAAATAAAAGGCAAATTTAAGATAGCTTATTGTCTCAGCTACAACATACTCGAAGTTCAGCGAAAACGAAGCTAAAACGACGGAGATATTGCTCGCGAAAGACGGGAATGTAGAATCCAGTTTTTAAAAAATCATGTCCCATAGAGAATACACGCAAAAAGTGAAAAATTGATATTCCTCCTTTAATCGCAAAAATACGTCATGATTCCTTTGTCGAAATGAAAAATCATGTCAATTGCATTTGTAGTGAATTATCTCAGCTAGAACACATCGAAAGTTGGAAGAAAATCAATCAATATTTTACAGAGATACAATCAATTTTCCAAAAATATGCTGATGTCATAATATGCAATTTTGAGTTCGGAGGCCATTATGATGACGTCATGAGTTAATTGAGGGTCAAATGAGACAAGAAATCATATTTCCAATTCATACTCTACAAAATATGAAACAAAATTTGGGGTCACCTTACATCCTAAAGAGCTACAATGGATTTTGTATAGGCATGTTTTTGCCCATATATGCTATGTATTACAAGAGCTCGCACGCACGGACGTGTATCTTATGGAGCTCTCACACTCTGCCGTGTAGGCCTACCGTCCACCTGCCGGGCTATTAAAAAAACAACAGAGTCCAGAACGTTGGGTTTTGAGCGAACTTGTCCCCGGCCGCAAAAAAAAATTCATAAAATTAATCTTTTCACCGTTTCGTTGCCATCTTCTGACCGTTCTCACCGGGCGCATACCGGGTGTTGAACGTGCTTCTACTGTCTTCACCGCCCAGGTTGACTTTTGTTGAAAATTTTGGCCGTTTCCATACCGGGCCCATACCGGGTCTCGAACGTGTGCATCGGGTTTGTAGCAGCCACCTACCAGTCACTAATAGCGTCCCCTCACCGCTCGGAGCGTCCTGTGAGCGAGTCCCCGGACTGCTGACGTCATGACACGACTGCCATAAATACCCCGATTTGAATGGCAACGATCAGTCCGCTCTCTATTTTTCATCACCCTTCTGTAACGGGTTATGAGCGTGTTGTGAACGTGTTCATACAGTGTGACCGTTTTCATAACGTATTCATACCGTCCTCATACTGTTCAACACCGTCCTCTTGCCGCTTACTTGCGGCCGGTGCCAGCCGGCCAAAGTTTTGAACATGCCCAAAACTTTCGCCGGGTCCCACCGGGTGTAAATAAGCGCCAACGCCCTATTAACGAGTTGCCCGCTTTGATAACGAACCACCGTGTGCCCTCGCCGTTCTCCACCGTCCGCAGACATTTTCGCGCACGGTGGCACACGGTAGGCCTACACGGCAGAGTGTGAGAGTCACTTTAAACGGACGCTTACTCCGTTATTAATGGTCAGAAATATGTTAACAAGGTATCAAAATGCTTGGGAAAATGTGCCAAATATGATGACAAAGAAAAATTGGCGATTCTTTGTTGCAAATTGCCAGAACGCGCGAAAACACGCACGCATGCGCGTGAGTGCGAGATTTTTTAAAAATGCTTAAAATGGCCTAAAACGTATGTAAAATTATTTTGAGACTATTTTGAGCATTTTAATATTTTGCGCGCGGACGTACGCGCACGCGCGCGTTTTTGACCTGAAATTGACCGGACGAATATTGACCTTAATCATGATAAATATGAATCAAAAATGGCTTTTGGTTATGAAGATATGATCATGAGTCGATTTTCAGAAAAATTTACAAAATGGCGCCTAGATGACGTCATCAGTGAAGGTCATAGTTGAAAACGTTATTGTGTTTGTACATATGCCTATACATATATGTGTGCCAAATTTGAGCCATTTTCAAGTAATCGTGCTTACAAAAAAGTGGTTTGAAATAAGTAAAATAAATAATAAAGGTAATTCTAGCGAAATTATAAGGTGTTCTGTACGCTTTACAGCCCACCTGATAATAAAGGCAATTTAACAAAAATTATAAGGTGGTTTGTATTAGATACAGCCCACCTAATAATAAAGGCAATTTTAACAAAATTATAAGGTGGTCTGTATTAGATACAGCCCACCTGATAAATAAATAAAGGCAATTTTAACAAAATTATAAGGTGGTCTGTATTAGATACAGCCCACCTGATAAATAAATATAGGCAATTCTAACGAAATTATAA